AGGCTGCAACAAAGATCTAATCTAGAGTCACTTTGTCAGTTTCAAGTCAGATCTATATAGCAAATATAGTATTTTCACCATTGAGAGTAGAGATAAACGGATACCTTAGTCATTTGCCAGAGGGAACATACACAACTCCTTGTGTGCAGAAAGCCTGGTAAATCCTATTGTATTTCACAGATTAGTATGTCCAAAAACAAAAGCCAATTTTTCGTTAAGATCTTACTGTAATAGTCTATTTAGAAGCAGCATATTGAGGAAAAGTAAAGTTGGTTATAGTGTCCTATATTATTGAGCTTAAATGAAGCATCCAGAATAATGGATCCAGAAAAATTATTTTTGTTTCAGAGAGAATATTTGGCTTATTACTTTTCTTTTATGTTGTGTTTAGTTGCTAATATCTAGTTTAAGATTAGGTCTGTGGTTCTCGAGCTTCAGAGTGCATCAAAATGACCTAGAGGACTTGTTAAAACACAACCCATCACTAGATTTTCTGATTCAGTAAATCTGGGATGTGGCTTGCGAATCTGAATTTCTAAAGTTACCAGGGATGCTGATACTGCTGGTCCAGGGGTCTCATTGTGAGAACCACTGGATTAGGTTGACTGTTCAATTGGCTGTTATAGCTAAATTCTTCCCACAACTCCATTAAAATATAAGTGCAATGATTAATTCTGATTTTTTGTTATCCTTAAATCCAGTTCTGTAGAGTCTTTCTCCTTAAAACCTCTATCCCTCAATTCCCACCACGACTCTCCTAGTTCAGTGTCTCTCACTTGGATTACTGGAATGGCTTTCGAACTGTTTCTTCTCTAGCTTTGCCTTTTGCCCACCTCCAACCCATTCTTTATACAGCAACCATAATTATCTTAAAAACAATGTAAATCTGATTCTGTAACTAAGCTTTCTTCCCTCCCTTCCTCCAATCCCCAATCCCCCCAATCAAGAAAACAAAATCACATCCAATGACTTTCAAATCCTCCCCTCCTACTTCCAGTCCCTCTCATCGGTTCATTTTTAGTTATTGTCAGATCTCAGCTCACATGAGCTGAGATTTCCCCTCAGAGGCCTGCCTGACTCCCTGGGATGGGATTAGAGGCCATTCTATGTGCATGTGCTGCACTCCGTACTCCTTGCACTACATTGGGTGTACTTGTCTATCTCTCCCACTAGAGTGTGAGCCCCATGGGAGTAGGGGCTGTTTGCTGATCGTTCTGTAGCCCCTCTTTTAACATATTGCAGGCAACCAATAAAAGCTTTAATGGCCTGTGCATATATTTATTTCAAAAGCTGTTTACCCTAAGTCTGATTTTGCAGCCATCCAAACTAGCTAACATAGTATCCTCGATAAGGAGAAAAAAGATGGATCAGAGTGGAGCAATGTGTGATGTGGGAAGAGAATTCCAAGTATACTAAATAAGCCATTGGGCTATTGGAACAAGGACTAAAAGGATAGAATTAAACCCAATTTAACCCCTTGTTCATCCTAAATCAGAAACACCGTCAGATATTGAGGGAAACTGTACAATTCTTTATTTGGGGCTCATAGCCATTTCCAGGAGTAAGAGGAAATTATTCTTTCAGGCTTATAGTCCTTTATACCAAGAAAGCGCCACAACTATCTGCTCAAGACCTGATTATGTTCACAAAGAACATGGCAGCTGCTGCCACCAAATGTTGCCCACTGAGTGATGAGCAACAGTTTGTCTGCATAGAGGACTTGGTAAGCGCGTCTGTGACTTCATGTTAGCCTATTCTTGAAGTTATAATCTCTAACCCCCACAATCAGTCTCGTGTTGGTGGACACATCCGTGAACTGTCAATGGAGCCTAACAATTCTGTTCTCTGGAGAAATTCTTTCAGCTCAGCTCATGTCAATTGTCTTTGATTAGCAGCAGTGGTAAAACTGTCTCATCTCTGAATCTGGAGATGTCAGATTCACTAGACCTTTGTCTGGATCACATCTCAGGGTCTGTTCCTTGGGTTTTCAAGTCAACGAAAGTGATTTTGTCAGCAACTTCAAAGATAATGCTCATTTTAGACTAACATCCTAATCAAACTCAAAAGTGTTAAATTTATTAGATGGAACACCAGTGTGTTCATTACAATGAACAATGTCTTTCCAAAGGCAGAAATAATTGGGTCTATAACTAGGCTATACTTTTTTCTGAATCAAAATATTTGGGAAGTTGAATATGGATATGAGTATTAGTGCAAATGGAATCGGAGGTAGGGCAGGAATGGTCTTGAGGGAAATTTCTTCCAGGCCATAGTGATGCATGCTAAATTATTCCTTTCTCACAATGCAGAACATCCCTCCAGGGACCTACATGCTAAGTCTCCGAGATCTAATCTCTAGGTCTCTCTTAAGTGGTATTATTTTAACACTATTGAATTCTTGTTTGGTGACAGCTTTCTTTGCCCTATTGGTAGAGGGTCTCCTTTATGCTGAACTGGTCTTTCTTCTGATAAAATACAATTGTTTTGGTTGGAGATTTAAAAACTTTTATTATCTAGCACTGCCTTCCTTTTATTTTATTGTCAATTTTTATTCTCTAGTCATGCCTCCTTTGGAGAACTGTTTTGATTAGACATGTATTCCTAAAGCCTTATTTTTAGGTGATTTCTTTGGTTACTTCCAAAATAGATAAACACGTGGTAAATGTTGATGCTTACTGGCCCTCAATTACTTCATCCCCACATACATAAGTGACAGGGAATTTGGGTGGTCATTATACTCAGAGGGGCTTAAAGGCAGGCTTGCAGATAGCATCAGGATAAGTATAAGATACCACACTGGAAGCAAGTTAATGTGACGGTTCTAGAACGGGACAAGTAAATTAAATGAAACAGTATCCAAGAATTTCTTTGATCATTCATTTATTCATTCAACAAATATTCATAGAGCATCTACCATACACCAAGTTCTGTGGTAGTTACAGATGTCTAGTTGTAAAAAACAGAAACAAATTGGATTTGAGCTTAAGTAAGACCGCTAATTATCAGTCTTATATCTGAGTCAAATTAGCTGTACTGTTGACTTGATTTTAATTTGATGGAGCATAAGAAACTCCTGCCTCAGGTCAACAGTGGTCTATAAACTGGACTGGGGAGGAATCTGGAGGTGGGGTCCAAGCAAACTCAACTTGAGGATGACAGGAAGAGGAAGGACAAGGCTGGGAACAAGGCTATAGCTGACACTCTTGCTTTTTCCCAAACAGTGAAATCCAGGCTGAACTAGCAGAAACTAGAATTTGAGAATACTTCTATGGGTAAAAAAAATTACAAAAATAAAAACATAACAATCAAAAACCTTAGGGCTCTTATTTTAATTCTCTTCTGGAAAAGGCAAAGCTGATTCTTGGAGCTTTATGCAGAAGACATGAGGCCGAGCCTATCAATGTTGGTGTGGGCCGTTGCTGTGATGATTCGTATGCCTTCAGGAAGCCATGCTTTGATGATCTGCAAGTTGATGGAACTTACATTTCTCCACCTTTATCCTGTGACCAAGTCATCAGCCTTAAAGGAGAATTGTGCAAAGCTCAGGAGGCGGAATTCCAAACTGAAAAGCAAAAGTAAGGATCTTTGTCTACTTTGTTCTTTACCGCCAATACAGTACTAGGTATAAAGAACTGTAAACTGGATGCAGATATAAGTATTGTGTAATGAATGGAGCAGGTAATGTTATGTTGGAGGTCAAGTAGAATTGAGGATATTCTGCAGTTTTTGCAACTATGGTTATCAAAGTTGCTACCTCAATTTGATCAGTTAATAAGATTGAAGTATACTGATCATAAAATATTAACAGTATGTTAATGTATTTTTCCTAAAATGTGAATTTTGGAACATAAGTTTTATAAGATGTCTCATACAAACAGGGTTCCATGATCAAATAAGTTTAGAAATACTGTATTTCCTTTCTCCTCTTAGAAATTCACTAGACTAGAGTGAAATAACTAGACTTATTGTGGTAATCGTTTCACATTATGTACATATATCGCATCATTATATTGTACACCTGAAACTGATATAATGTGTATGGCGATTATATCTCAATAGAAAATAATTTAAAAAAAGAAAAAGAAATTCACAACTTCCATTAACAGAGGAAGTCAGAGAAGTGCTGTAATAAAGTAACCTGTTTAGCTTGTTTTAACCCAGAATCATCTGGACCACAGAACCTACTAAGATTCTGCAGGACCAGTATGCTGGGAAAGTGCTTCGGAACATTCCATTAGAATGATGTGTGTCACCTCATAATATGTCATTACTTTTACTACCACTCCTACTGTTGCTAGGAATGCCTGTTTTATCTGTTTGGAAGAACGGTTTTGGGGTGATTAGTAATGGGTGCTAGCCGAGTGATAATGTAATGCCTGTGAATTCAACTCCTTGAATTTTTGATTTTCTTCTCCTCCTGCTCATCCACCCCCTGTAATGTAGTTTCTTGCATCACATAAGACTTTATAGTAACTTCTCAGAATATAGGAAAACAAGATATCACTAGACACTCACAATTCTAAAAATAAATATTTAAATGCCATATATGTCTTTTCTATGAAAATATAATATCAAAGAATACTGAACATGGAAGAAAGCTTAGATATTAATCAATCTTTCCCACCTCGAGTTTAGGAAATCCTTCTAAAACACATCGTGCAGTTCCTGCACAAGTATTTCCAGTGACGAGAAGACCATTTGCCTAAGCAGCCTATTTTATCTTTAGATATGCTTAATTAAAAAGCTCATCTTTTCCTGTTAAGTAGAACTCAGTTTGCTTGTAACTTCCAAACAAATTTCTACTTCCAAAGCTACAGAGAGAAATACTTTACAGATATTCTGCATTGCTAGGGAGAGATCCCTATTATTTGACTGTCAACTGAGGATGAGGTAGGGTTGGTATAGCCTATCAGTGCTGGTGTGGGTCACTGCTGCGATGACCCATGTGCCTTCAGAAACCAAGCTTTGATGATTTGCAAGTCAAAGGGACTTACATTTCCCCACATTTACCCTGTGACCAAGTCATCAGCCTTATGTAATATTTATATCTATATCTACCTACCTGATATGTACATATATAGTATATGAAAACAATGATAAATTAGAAAATTTTATGAATCTAAGTTATTACTTTACAAAGTGGTATTCTGATTTGGTTGCTGTTACTGATACTGAAACTAATTGATCAGAAATGTTTCCGATAGAATGCAGTCTCTTTGTATTTGACCAGGATTTCCCAATGCGTGTTCTAGGCAAAAAGGGTTTCTGGATCCAGTCAGCAATAGAATTTAATCCAGTGCTCTTTTTTACTCCTGCTTTCACAGTATCTATTGGAATATTTATTCATTCTACTATATTGTCTACCCTCTTACTCTCCTGCCACTGCAGCCCACTGTCAAATATTTTTTCCCTCATCTTTCCCTTATATAATATATCAGTTAGTTTTTGCTTCATAACAAATCCCACCAAAATGTAGTGACTTAACACAGCATCAGTTATTATTGCTCAAGTGTCTGTGGGTTGATTGGATGTGTCTATTGACCTGGGCCAGCCTCAGCCATTCTCAGTTGGGCTTGTTCAAGAGTCTGTGGTCAGCTGCTAAGTCAGCTGGGAGCTGGCTGGCCTAGGCTGGCCTCAGCTAGGAGGGCTTGTCCCTGCTGCATGTGGGCTCCTGTCCTCCAGCAGGCTAACTCAGCCTTCTTCATATGATAGATGGGAGAAAGGGGAAGTGTGGAGACCTCGTGAGGCCCAGATTTGGAACCATGTGATGCCAGTTCTGCTGTAACGTAGGTCATAAGGCTGACCTCGATTAAAGGGGTGTAGAGATAGACTTCACTTCTTGATAGGAAGCATTGGAAAATCACATTGTAAATGACATGGATACAGAGAAAGGTGGACAATTGAGTCCATTTTTTAGATCAGTCTGCCACATTGGATCATTATGTAGATCATTAATGTAGTTGTTGAAACTACAGAAAATGATATATGTCAAGATAATGGTGGAAAGTGAGGCAATTAACTGGGTCTGAAATTATCAAAAATGAGGGGACATGACGAGGTGGAAATAAATAGGGATGGGGATGTTAGAGTTTGATGACAGGTACTTTGAAGGAGCTATGGCTTTTATAAGAGGATGAAGGAGAGATAGGTTGGAAGCAGTAAAAGGGAACTAGATGCTAACATAAGTGGTGTCCAAGCACAAATAGCTTTCTCTTGAGAGGTCTTAGGGGACGCTGTGTCGTCTGGGGAACCTCATGCTTCATACAGAGAAAGAAAAATTCAGAGAAGAGGCTGTGGATGTTGATGAGAAAGCCTCAAGTCACAAAGGAGACAGAGGATGAGTTACAGAGGGCAAGGAGAGCAGGTGATGGGTCGGATGAGGGATGTAGAAACATCACTATGATGACATGATCTGGGAGACTTGGATTTCTGATTGTGACTGAAGTGACTGAGGCATGATGGGGCTGGTCTTGGAAGTAGCACATGCAGCACACACAACGTTAGGACAGCTAGTCTTGCCCTTGGCTTCTGAGAGCACAAGGTGATTAAGATCTCACAAGTGAGTGGTACTCCCACTAATTCTCCCTATCTCACTTGCATAGACTGACTGAATGGGACGCTTATTATCAGGAATTAGAAAAGAGGCTATCTGTTTGCTGCTGCGGACAAAGAAATGTCTTTCTTAGTGGCATCAATCATCCATCTCTTTACCTTTCACCCCATTCTTGAGCCTAGAGTCAAGAGGTTCCCATGGCCCAGGCATTCTCCCTTGGAATGAATTCCTCTCGTGATGGATGTGATGTTAGAGGCCCCAGGTGTAGTCCACCAAGGTGACTGTTCTAGGAGAAGCCAAAGAGTGAAATTCCAGTTTCTCTGAATCAGCAGGATGCATTGAAAACACTCCAACCCCTGACAGTGGGGCAGGTCCCTTATAGTGCCCACCCCGCTTCCCACCCTCTTCCCATCCTCTTCACGTCCTGTCCTCAGGAGAAAGCACACCGTGGTTCTCATTTTTCCTCCTCCCCCAAGATCATTGAAAGTGGTAGTTTATTTCTAATTAATTTATTTACTCTAAGTCTTGCTCTTGCAGGGTCTAAATATTATTAGTCCAACAATATCATCTTGCCAAGTGACGCAAAGTTTTTGTTGCCTTTGGGAATAAACACATTCTCATGGTCAGCGAGCACAAGGTTGTTACTTGTTCTGTTTTATCCCAGTACTTGCAATTCTTAAGCCAACTGACCCTTGAAGTCCTTTCTTCAGTTCCCAAGGTGAGCTGATCACAAACTAGACTTTAAAATTGTCCAATAAACACCCAAAGACCATTGTAACATTCAGTTAGCCATTCTTTTTTTAGCTCAGGCTTGATGGCAGAACATAAGGAGAAAGTCTATTTTACTTCCAGAGTGCAGACTTTGCTTTCTCTTGAGGAATTTCTCTGGGCATAGATAGGCACCACTTTCTGTATGTCATCTCACCAAATCCTTACCACAAATGTATGAGGTAGATAATAATATTATTCCATTTTAGTTGTGAGGAAACTAAGACTGAGAAGGCAAGAAGAGCTGGTATGAGATCATGCGATAGGTAAATAGGTTGTTGAGCTGGAATTTGCCCCCAAGCTATCTGGCTCAAAGCACACACACTTAACTACCAACATGCAGCTGTTAGTGTGCCTCAAACAAGATTATAATACTGGTAGTAATTTTTAAAACGTGGAGCTCTTCATATGAAGGCTAAATAATAAAAAGTGTGAAATATTAGGAGACATCTCTGTTCTAGTGAATTCACTGTGTTCTCTGTATCGAGAAAACAGCAGCATAGAGACAGTTAATGTAGAAATTTCTGGAATATCCTGGGAGAATCCATATTAGGAGTCAAAGACCAGGCTGGAAAAAACCCTCCAACTTCTTGGGATAATGACAAGGGCTGTCTTCATGACTTTCACCCCTGTATAATTCTGGGGGACCATCACAGCATAAATCCACACACAAGAAAAGAAAAAACAAGTGAAGGGGCTCCCAGAGGGGAAAGAAAAAATTCAGCGGGATAGTAAAGAGAAGGTAGAAGTTGAGGTCATGAAATAAGATAGAGAAAATAAAAACGAAATAGAAGTTCAAAGTAAAAGAATTTAAAATCCAATTAAGAAAAATATTGAGTTGAAATGTTAATATAAGACTTAAGATAATATACAAAGACTAGAATGTGCTTTAAATGAAATGGTGGACAAATTTAATGAAAATAAAATAATACCATAGAAATAAAGAACTGAAAACAAGTTGATGGTATTGAGGATTAAAAATAGGATTTAAGATTTAAAAAGGTAAATTAAAAAATTTAAAACTAAAAAAATAGGAAGAATTAGGGGAAATATTTTGTGTGTGTGTGTGAGGAAGACCAGCCCTGAGCTAACATCCATGCCAATCCTCCTCCTTTTTTGCTGAGGAAGACTGGCCCTGAGCTAACATCCATGACCATCTTCCTCCACTTTATATGGGACGCCGCCACAGCATGGCCTGACAAGCGGTGCGTCGGTGTGTGTCCGGGATCAGAACCCGGGCCACCAGCAGCGGAGTGCGTGCACTTAACCACTACACCAAGGGGGCCAGCCTCCTAGGGCAAATATTTTTAAATGAAAGCAGTCAGCTTGGTAGGTAGAGAGATGGGGGGGAGGAAGTGGGCAGGACAGGTGAGTCAATCGCAAGCAGATCACAAGTATGTGACATTGGTGGAGGGGGCCCAGCTTCCCAGTGGCACAGAGATCCCCGTTGTAGAAATGGCAGCCTTTATATCTAGAGTGCCAAGGAGAGATGACATGACATCCTGATACCCCTGCTCTGAATCTCATTCCCTGACCTTCTGCTTTCTCATGATGGGAAACTTTTTTTTCTCGCCTGTCCCAGTACAATGGGAGCATTTCTCCTTGTTTAAATAAGCAGCTCCTGGCTAATCTTCCAGAAACTCAGCAGTTATGCTCGGTTTCCCTCTACTGGTCCCTCTGGGGAAGAGCATTCAGAAACCAGATGACCCAGCAAGAGAGAAAAGAAAGCAGAAGTGGTTCAGTGTGACTGAGGGATGGGGTGAGACAAGAAAGAGAAACTTTGGGGATGAAACTAGAGAGATTGGGAGGGGCCAAGCCATGAAAGCACTTGGAATCTCATAGCATGTTAAGTGAGAAAAGAGAAGGCAGATATATATGAGGCAACCTTCCCACCTCCCTCATTAAGTTGCCCTGTAATTGTTGAATCCACAACTCAGATCTTCAGGGAAATTGTGAAGATGCTCATCAATTATTTGCTGAATGAATACACGAATAAATAGGAGAAAAGCTGTGACAATGCACCATTTATTGTGGGAGTCAGGGAGGAGGGAGATCATGGTTGGAAGCAACCAATAATTTGAAAGGAAAGCAAGTTGTGCTATTATGGTTGTTACTATTCAGTGCTATTATTATCTTTGCCGCCATTTATTGAGTGCCTTCAGTGTGCCAGGTACTGTACTCAGCCCTTTAATATATTATTTTTGGTTCTCACAAAAATCTTGCAATGTAGATGCTCAAATTTTCTTTTTATAAGATGAGAGTCAGAGAGGTTAAGCATCTCATGCACCATCACACAAGCTAGTGAGTTGAGGACCTAACTTGAACCAAAGTAGGTTTACTTCAAAGTTTGTACCCTTTTCATGATATTAGAAGAAAAGAGAAGTCCAGATTTTTCATGAAGTAGCAGTAAACTCTGCCCCTTCCTACACCAGCTTTGGCCTCTTGTGGTGCCGAATATCCTAAGCCAGACCATAGAAGTCCCAAATGGGCATTTGGAAATAGGGTAATCAACAGGTACCCATGATGGTTAGAGCTGAGACTTGGGCTGTCCTGTGCTTTTATGGGTGGGTCAGTGAATTGCAGCATTACGAGCAATATCGTTTCTGTCAGAATTTATTCTGAGACAAAATCCACCAAACTCCAGTGGGACATAGACTACATTTCTCACTTTGAATAATTAATTTATTAAAAACTGATAATTATTATTCAAAGATAATATAAATTGACTTGACTATAGATCTAACATACAGACAAATGATATAGAGACACAAACAAGCACAGTGTTTTCTTTCAAGTGGGGTCTAGTTTAGGTCTAATTTAGAAGATTGGGTATGTGTAGAACAGTCAGATAGAAAAAATAATGCTTATATATTCTCTTTCTTTTTAAAATATTGATTTATTTTACTATTAAAGTAATACATAATCATCGCAGAAAATTTAGAAAATATAGAAGAAAATCATAACACTTTTATTCCAACACAGCAGAGATACACATTATAAACATATGTGTATTATAGGAATATGTAATGTCACGTATGTATACAAGCACACACTCCCACAATTGCCCTCTGTCCACCATCAGTCTTCTAACGCTTAATAGTGTAAGTTTTGCACACTCTTGCTATTACCTGCCTATACAAAATTTCACTTCCAGCAATTATCCCCAGAATCCTTAGGGAAGAGTTTATGCAACTCCCTTCACCTCTTCCCCCTCCAGGAATTCTCCAGGCCACTCTCCATGGCACCACTCCTGTGCCACTGGGAACAACTGTGCCCTCAAGGTACTGCTGTCTTCTTCTCAGCTGCAGACTGAATCCCTTGAAATGACAAAGCTGCTTTCTGTTTTGTTGTAAGAACAAAATAATATCTTTCCCACCCCCCAGGATTATACACTTTCAGAAGGTTCCAGGGCAGCCCTGCTTGTGTCTTAATGGTTTGCAGGACTTTAATAAAAGTATTCTTACAGCACTTTTTCAAAGAGTTACCCTGATCCTGCATGATTCAGCTGTGAGTCTAATGGAGGCCCAGCTGGGGAACCACAAAATTACTCCTGTCTTCCACTGACCAAGCCTTTCCAACTGGGTGGAAATCTCTGAGCCTGACTTCTTGTCTCAGGATTTCTCTCAACTCCCAATCCTCAGGCCTTCTGGGAGGGTGGCTCATCTCACTGGTTTGTTATATATGCCCAGACTATACCATTTCCAAGGAGTTTGAAATCACAGTTACAAATGCAATTCAGGGAACACTTGTATTTTTTCTACTCATTTCTGATTCAGGATCCTCAGCAACCTTGTGAAGCAGAAGCTGTATGCAACACAGATGCAGTTCCAATCAATTATTGTGGATTTCACTCACCTGGTGGAGACGTGCTGCCAAGCAGAGAAAAGTGAAAAGTGTTTCCAAGAAGAGGTATGCTTGTTTCCTTGTTTATTCTCTTAGCTCTCTTAGGGTTTATTAAAGTAAAATAATCAAATAAAAATAGAAATACAGGATTGTCATTGCAAGAAAAATCATTTCTCCATTCCCATCAGGAGTGGATTAGGAGAAAATCATAGTCTAGATGGATTGGTGTAACTGACTATATTTAGTTTAGGATATGTTAATATTTATGTTTATTTGAGGAAACTAGGAGTCTTGGACAGGAGTAGAGATGAGTACAAGAGTCATGACACCAGATGGACTGGAGATATTTGGGATTGGGGGTGAGAGGAAGAAGGGTGAATTGAAGATCCTAGATAATTGTAGAAAAATTGTGTCCTTGGAAAAACTGAGACATTTTAAATAATAACAGTTTAAAGACTTGTCTGGGCAAACTGTAGTATTGTTCTAGAAATTTCTAGAGACATAATCAGGCAGAGTCACCAAATGTAGTTCAGGGCTTAACCAGGGAACAAAATGTTGCTAGTGATAATCAATAACCAATCTATAGATAAGAAAGATAGAGTGATATTTATTGAGCCTAATGTGAGCAACAACCCGGAAGTGTTATCTTCCCCAGGGAAGAAAGCACTTCAGAGAAGCGTGGTTTACAGCATGGTTATATACCCTTTCAGAACACAGAACATACATGAAGCATGACGGGAATACAATTTTTTCCCCCAAAGTCACAAGGTTTTGCTGCAGGTTAGCACATACACAGTAGGTCAACTTGACCTTAGTTCTCTGGGAAGAAAAGCTTATCTTCAAAGAAGTACTGATGTCAGTGTCAGAGAGAGGGAGACAAGCATCCCTACCTTTAATGAGTGCATTCTCCCCTTTGGGAAAATGTTTGAAGCAGATGTACAATGCATGTTTGGTGGGCCATAAGTCAGGCTCCTATGGGAAAAATGAGTTTTAGGCCAAATCAGATTTAAACCAGAATGGCTTTCTGCATATACCTCAATCTGTGAAAAAATTATTAATATTTTTATCACATGCTTTTCAACCCCTTTTCCGTTCTAGATACTCTCTGGACGTAACAATTTGCCAATATCCTTTTAAAATGTGTTGTCTTTTATACTTTCCAAAATCCCAATGCAATAACAGTAAAAATATACAAAAAAAGCACATAAAGCGCTCTAGATGCTAAAAAGAAAAAAAACTACCATCGATGTAAGAGATGTTGATGAACTTCTGGAAAAGGAAAGAAAGCCATTGGTATAACATTAACCAATATATCAAAGTACAGATATAGGAGCTCAGAATAGTGACATGAAGAGATGTACCAGCAGTAAAAGATCAGAAAGTCATTGATATTTGAGCTACTTTCGTTCTTGTCTGCTGCCCAGCCCGTTTTTCAAAATTTCTAAAGATTCCTGAAGCCACCACGATCCTTTAAATAAACTAATTTTTACTTAGGTTAGCCAGAATTTGATCTTATTATTTACATCTAAAGGACCCCTATGGACATACCAGCAAAAATACTGTGCAAATATGTGGACAAAATAATATTTAAAAATGCAAGGACCAAGAAAGTTTATCTCCCAGGCGCCCATTTGAAAAAAATACATACATATACACATGCATAACTTAAGAATGTAGCACAGCAAAACTTAGAAGAATCCAAGAAAAAAAACATGGGATTTTAGAAATAGTCAAATTTACCCAGGATTACACTGTGTGGACAGCCATGAATCAATCCTAGACATAATTAGATCCAAACGGAAAGATTAAGTTAGAGGACTTTTCAAAATATAGCTTTAAGATGATAGACTATTCTATTAGAAAAACTATATGATTAAGAACTTGAAATATTTTAGTAGTTTGATAAAAATAGGTGCTTAATTTGTCAACATGGAAAAAGAAAGGCAATTAGAAACCCTCAAAAAAGAAGGATGTACTAGGAAACCATAGTCCAAATATGCAAAACTAAATAAATGTGGCATGGCTTTCTGCAGTTGATATCAGGTAAAAAAGAGACTTCACTCACTCTTGACACCTTTTAAGCGACACAGGATAAGTCATTGACCTATTGGTCAATCCATTCACAGCACTGCTGTAAATAATACTCCAAGTACACACACTACCAAATATACTATTTAATGGTTTCCAGTTTTTAGCATCAACCTATTAACAAAGCATATAAACCTTATATTTACAAAGGTTTGAATAAATCTAGACAATGTAGAAGTAATGGTATAGCTTGAGAAAGGAAAGCTGGCAAAGAAATGAGGTGAAGTTTAAATATGTTAATTATGTTTTTGAGAATCATTAGATGCTGACTGAAGCTGAAGGACCAAGAAATAAAATATAACCAACAGAAGAACTAAAAATACCTTAACTAAAAAACAATTTGAGAAAGAGTGTGGATAGGGTTGTTGAAATTGGTTAGTGTAAGTACCCTATATGCTTTAAGTGATGGTAATATTTTAAGAAACTATTAAAGTGATGATGATAATCACTAGGAGAACTAAAAGTGGAAACATTAAAACTGGTTACTTTTTGGGAATGGGAAATGTACCCTGTTCTTCTGTTTGACCTTATACCCTGTTTGTGTATTACTTACATAATTTTCAAAACTTCTGTAATGTATCATAAGACACTGAACGGAGTAACCCCGAATGACCTGATCCATATAGGTTGGGATTATCACCCTGCTTAATCTGATCCTTGTTTTTTCTTCTGAAATGCATCCCAAGATTGAAGTAGCTTTGATAGTAGACCCATTAAGTTGTAAGTATAGACTACCTAAACCTACAGTCTTTTCACATGAACTTGTGTAAGTCACATCCAAAAGCAGAACTTGACTTTTTTTGTTGTTAAATTTCATGTGTTATTTTCAAACCATCATTTCAATCTGCCCAAATTTCTGCTAATTCATGTTAACTTTCTTCTATATTATATTCTCTTGGTTGATAGATGAATATCTCAGGCCTTAGTTATCATTCCCCACTGACCTGGAAGAGAGAATTTCTGTGAGTAGAATTTTCTCCTTGAACCTGCTGATGTCTACAGTTCATGTTATTATTTCATGAAACGTGAGATGCCTCGTCTTTGGGTGATCCAGATTCACTCTGTATGGCTGAGTTTCTTATTTTATTCCTTCTTTATGTTTCATTCTGACTCTTGCCAACTTTCTAACATTGATTTTGGTTCACTATTTTTCTCCTTAGAACTTTCTTTCATTCTGGCTTTCTTTTCAAAATATGTCTTCCATCTTCTCTAAAAAAGCTTTATCCTCCCAATAGCCATAGCTAGAAAGGCAGTCTTCAAACCTGCCCACTTTCTCGTTTAATAGGCAGAACAGGTTCACATAATTGACTATTATAATCTCAGAAAAGAAAACAAAGAAAATGCCTGTAGGTTCTCGGAGCAGTTGGTCTTTTATAGCTAACTTGGGACATCTACAGCCTGCCAATTGGCTGAGCCTCTTCACTTCTGGGATCTTCATTCCGTGGAGACTCCTGAAGCCACTAGGTATTATTCCTTTGCTCTCCAGTCCACGAACATAGAAGCACAAAGACTTATACAAATTCTTGACGATAAGATTCCAAAATATTTTGATCATCTATTCACACATTTTTGCTAAGCCTATTCATATAAGGTTGTTTTTAAAATATTCCAGTCTTATCTTGATATTTAATATCCCCAAGTTCTTTCATTTTATTCATACATATGTTATTTTCCAATTGTTTCATTATTTTTGTTACCATCCTTGGTTCTAACTTCTCACTAAGAGTTAGACATACGAAAATATTGGGAGGGGATGGGGGAACAATTTATGACAATCAACTTTCACCTTAGAAAAGTGGTTCTTAAAGTGGTTCCCAAACCAGCAGCATCAGCAGCATCAGCAGCACCCGGGAACTTGTTTGAAATGCAGATTATCAGACCCCACCCCAGATCTACTGAATCAGAAACCCTGCGGGTGGAAAATACTGATTTTGTTTTAACAAGCCCTCCAGGTGATTCTAATGCACACTAAAATTTCAGAATCACTACTTTAAAAAAATCATACAAAGGTAAAGTTGACCAAACTTTAGAGATGATGCGTAATTACATATAATAAGCATTTTTATCTGAAGAAGTAATTCTAGCAAATTTAATTAACATGATATATTCTTCAGATAGTTTCTATATTCTCCTTTAAGTTGGGGAGAAATCCTAAAAAAAGATAGAGAGGCAAGGGAAAAATATTTGGGTTTTTCAACCTTTAAGTTGAAGATTGCTGTTAGGCAAAAAGTGTAGGGAAAAGCACACAGAAATCTTCCTATCATGCTATTGATGAACTAGTTCGACCAAGTACTATTCATACTCAAGAGCAAGAACACATCAAGAAAACTCCCTTGGGCATTTGCAGGCACAGGCCCTTCTGCAAATGTGTTTATTTGTGTGGATATGGGGTTGTTACTTAGGTAGAGACGTGTTTTCTGAATGCTTTACAAAAGGTAGAAAGGCTTTAAAATAAATAAATGGACTCTAGTATATAGGTGATTGTTTTCATTTTGTGCATCAGCTAGTCTGGGAGTCAGCAAAATTTTTCTGTGAACAGGCAGATGGTAAATATTTGGGGCTTTGCAGTTCACACAGTCTCTATCATGACTACTCAAGTCTGCATTGTAGCCAGAAAACAGATGTAGACAATATGTAAATAAATGGGTGAGGCTGTGTGCCAATGCAACCTTATTTACATAAACAGGAAGTGGAGCCAGTTTAGCCTGAGGGCTGTAGTTTGCTTACCCTTGACTGGACTATAGATATATGACTTTTCACATAAGCACATGTACAGTTTAGCGGAAGAGGTAGAAAGGAACCCCTGAAGGTAATTAAGGAAGTCATGAAAATTGTTACCTGTGAAAACATTTCCCAGGGCCTTTGCTTAAATTAACCCCAGTCATAACTAGCCCCAGCCTGTTTTGACTGTAAAGGCTGCTTGATATTTTTTTTTTAACTACACACTTGCATTCCTCTACTCAGACACTGTCACCTACTGTATTCCAGTTTCTGCTCCTCAAGTCATGTACCTGGGAGAGCAGTGTGTCCCAGGTCTCCTCCATGAACTCACGAGAATCTACTGTGTCACAACCTACCATAATATTCTTAGCAATTTAAGTCACACAACTTTACTATCTAATGAAAAATCATTTGTTAGCTATATGCAACTGAATTAATTATGGAAAAGAGTCTCCTGGTAGTTTGATGAGTGCACAGATAGTGCATCGTTCTGGTCACTGTTCTTTCCTCTCCGCATTCTTCAACCCCTGTTCCCATAATCCTCTGGCCACTGAGAAAATGAAATCCTTTTCATCTCTGATGAAAATATAACAAGTTTTCACATATTGAGGTATATGGGGAAGCCATTCAGGTTTAAATCTGATTGGGCCTAAAACTCATTTTTCCCAGAGCAGCCTGACCTATGGCCCATGGAACATGCATTGTACATCTGCTTCAAACATTTTCCCAAAGCAAAGAATGCACTCTAAAGATAGGGATGAATGTCTCCCTTTCTTTGACGCCAATACCAGTACTTCTTTGAAGATAAGCTTTTCTTTCCAGAGAACCAGGTCAAGTTGACCTGCTGTGTATGTGCTAAACTGCAGCAAAATGTTTCCTTATGACTTTGGGGAAAAAAAATTGTATTCTTGTCCTGCTTCGTGTATGTTCTGTGTTCTGAAAGGGTATATAACCATGCTGTAAACCACGCTTCTCTGAAGTGCTTTGTTCCCTGGGGAAGATAACACTTCCAGGCTAGTCCTCAGCATTAGCCCATTAAATATCACTCTTTCCTATGTATAGATTGGTTATTGATTATTTGTGTTGACACATGTCACAAAGGATATGGAGAAAAGACTGGTAATGTTTATCCCACAGTTTTAGGATGGGTGACTTGTTAGCATTCTCCCAACATGTCCAGCATTTTACAAAATCAAAGAGTGGTTAACGAGGTCTCAGCGTAAGGAAGATGTTTCCTCTTTCTTTTCTCTGTTCTCTGCATTCCATCATTTGAGTGCATGTTTTATATTTCAAAATCTTGCTTGGGCCTTTCCTCAAGATGTGGAGTTATCATCACTTCCTATTTCATGAGAGACACCTCATTACTGTAGTAGTCTTCTCAGACGCCTTTCTTCTACCTTATCTTAACAGAAACTTTGTTTTCCCCCCAGCATTTGTTATCATAACAAATTAGAAATTTACCAAGGAACTATGCAATAAATGAAGTCAGGAAGGACTGATATAGAGAAATATGACTTCCCCTGTTATTGTTATGAACAAGATTAAATATGAGGGTCTTGAGGTTAAGTTTATGGGAAAATTTCCCTTGAAGATTGATTAAAAAAGGTCATAGGGTACCGAAGAAGCAATGATACCTTAAGCTCCAGAGATGTTTTTAAAAACAAGCCTAAATAGATTCCAATCTCTCTAGATGATTTAGGTGTGGTACTGTTTGAAGGTAGGAAGGACTGAATTAATAGACTTATAACCATTTTCTACAGACTCCTAGGGGCTCTTAGGTGGGCGAGTTATCTGTCCTCAGGGATGCATGTGTGTGCATCTTAGCAGTGGAGTTCTAGGTGTCCCATTCCCACTTAACTAAACAAGATTTCATTTTTATCTATTTACTTGGGCTTCCACAAATGATTTTTATTTGAATAAAAACTATACAGGTAAAAAGTGGGCAAAACTGCTGGACTTAGTGTAGAGGTCCAAGCCAGCACATATGGAGGGGGCAGAGATACTCTGATGAGTTTTAATGGTTTTGTTCCTCTGGAATTCCTGTACCTGATTGTGTAATGATTTAAAATGGAATTAGCTTAGAGCAGTTTTAAAATACAATGAGAAACTGATGTTGATGATCTGTTTTTACCCTGCAGCAAGAGTCCCATATTTTTGTGAGGAGGAAGCAAATTTTTATTTATCACAAATCTGGGGTCCTGAAAGTGGGAGAGGCATAGCAGTTAATTAAGTCTTTAAGTTAAGGGACCAGGCTTGCGAGAAATTCTAAGACCTTGAGGAGCAGGCACGTAGAGCCCATCTCAAGGGTACAACGGGGAAGTCTTAAAGATTTTCTATTTGGTGATCTTAGCTATTTAGGTGTTTTCCCTTTCTCACAGATGTGCTTATTTGCTTTCTTCTTAGGGGTCTAAACTGATGGAAAAGTGCCAGTCTCTCTTGGAAGGCTAAATGAGTCCGGAAAATGTCAATATACGATCTTTGCTGAGATCTGCATTTTATTTTTCATGAATAATGAAACATATGTCTAATATTCAAAATAAGAGAAGAATCAATAAAATTTTTCAACTACTCACAGTGTTACTCAAGAACACTAGTCAGTCTACAGTAAATCTCTCCCTTCCTACTCAGCAGAGAAATGTGCTTATTGTAACCCTCAAACAACCCACTGTCATTCTTCCTTTTCCTCCTGAGCTTTCTGCTTCTCAGAAGCAGCAACAGAAATATGAGATCAAGGGGCCTTTCAAAAGCCTCGGGTAGATGTAACAGGCTGCTACATCTAACTGGGAACTGTCCGCTGGGTTCTGGAGTGACAGAGATTCCAAATGCAGCTTGGAAGTTCCATCCATCTATCTACCGCTACTGAAAATGATTATTGATGAACTGAATGAAATGTGCTTTATACTCAAGTTACCTTCATAACTGTTTTGCCTTTCATCTTTACCCTATATATGTGATGCTGACATTGGAACCAAGGAGTCCTAATATATTTATATTAATTTGAGCTTTCACTGATGATTTGTAATAGCACTCTTTTCCCCAGAAATCCTGGCATAAATGACATAAAGCACTTATTTGGACTTATTTTTATTTTTCCAGATTTTTTTGTGCATGTAATAAAGTAAAAATAAGCAGTAATATTTTAATGCTTACTAAATAAATGAATTATTTTGATTAGAGAAAAAATTTAATCCTCATTATAGTGCTCTGGACTTGATTTTAAATAGTTTTTCCTAACTCCAGTAATTTCAACATGTTCATATATATTAGGAAATTAAATCCAATAAACATTTGTTAAGTATCTATTGTGTTCAATGCACTGTGCTGGGTTCTGCAGGGAATAATATGAACATGATAAGACCAGATCACTCATGAATTTATACAAGATATAAACACATAAGGAATTATAATAATGGGCAGATTTCACATTTCCCGTGTCACAAGAGCAGAGCTAACTGAAAATGTAGCACGAAGGAGTTTGAGATGACTACATTGTCACGGAGACCAGGAAGTGTCATGGAGGAAGTGACTCTGGCCAACGACTAGAAAATGGGCAGTTTCAACAGAGAGAGGTGTGGTAGAGTGTGAGAGGGGATGGTGAGTGATTCAGGTTGGTGGGATTTAAGACAGGAATGAAGTAGTTGTGGGCAGTAAGAGTGGAAGAGAAGGCTACAATGCTGGGGACATGTTGTAGTTTAATTATAACGATAGCTAATATTTATCACATGCTTCTTATGTGCAAAGTGCCAGCCTTTACATGTATTATTCCTATAACTCCTGTAACTGTCTAATGAAGTAGCTACTAACATTTCTATTTTACAAATGAGGACACACAAAGAATGCCAGATTAAGGGAGTATACTTTAGGGTGAGAACATACATTATGGTGGTTAAGAATGTGTATTCTGGAGCCATAGGTTCAAATCCTACCTAGCTCTTCCGCTAAAGACCTTAGCAAATCTCCTAACCTCTCCATGGCTTACTTTCCTCATCTATAAGATCGAGTTGAAAGAGTAATTTCCTCATGGGACTGTAACAAACATTAAATGAGCTAATATATGTAAGTACTTAAAATAGTGCTTGGTAAGTGCTATTAGTTTGAACAATATGAAATTGCTGCTTTTGTAGGTCAAATATGGACTATTTCAAATGGTTCAATCTAAAAGGTTAGCTGTTATTTAGAAGATAAATACATGCCATTGAAAGGTTCTGCCCTCTCTAACTGCATCCTATTCCTTTCTTTCCTTTCACATGTAGATATTGCAACATAATAGATACACCTGCCAGCTTTCCACCTCATCAAGTACCTTGCAAATGGACTTCTTTCCCCTTCAGTTCTTGAAGCCGATCTGAACAGCCCTAAACAAAATTCCATGGTAACACTGCTTAACTGAATATTTCATACAGCCAAGAGATAAAATATACCACCATATTAGGAAAAACTAAACAGAAAAGATTCTGTATTTCTTAGCTACTGGATCAGGTCTGTGAAAAATGAGGCATATGTACAGGGGGTTTTATAAAAATATTTCAGAATTCATTCACTCCTTCTTCTATTCCTTCATTCACTAATTTATTCAGTCCTCCTTTATTCAATTGATTTTTATTGAGCACATCCTATACATAAGACACAATATTAAGTATAGCAAAATATACAAAGAATATGACAGATCCTCTACCATTAGTAAATATATTATCCAGAATTGAATTTGAACTAAAATGCAACTAGTAGTGAAATATTTGGACCACCTAAAACAAGAATAAATGGTTTGGTGATAAAAGTTGATATTCTTGTATTATGCAAAGATGTCTCTGAAGTGAACAGATTATTGTCTCAGAGATTATATTAGCTATGTATTGCTATACAACAAATTATCCTAAAATTTAGCAGCGTACTACAACAAACATTTGTTATCTCACAGAGTTTTGAGGATCAGGAATCCAGGAGTGGTTTAGTAGGGTTTTCTGGCTCAGGGTCTCTATGAGGTTGTAGTCAAGCTATTAGACGGAGCTGCAGTCATCTGAAGGCTTGACTGAGGCTAGCAGATGGCCCACTCACACAGCCGTGGTCAGGAGGCCTCAATTCCTTGCTGGCTTTTGACAGGTTTCCGTTCCTGTCACGTAGGCCTTCCCGCAGGGCTGCTCTGGACATGGCAATTGGCTTCCCCCAGAGCAAGCAGTCCAAGAGAGCAAGCAAGGAAGATGCCACAGTGACCTTTATGACCTCGTCTCCAAAGTCACACCCTGTCACTTCTGCTTTTCTCTATTCATTAGAAGTCATTAAGTCCAGCCCATTTGCAAGGTGAGGAGGAATAAGCTCCACCTCTTGAAAGGAGGAGTATCAAAGACTTTATCCATATATTTTAAAACTTCCACAGTAGTGACAGTAATGTCTCATTTCAATAATTTATTTTTTGATCTAGTAGAACACTGTGCTTGCATGTACTTACTACTTTTTTTGTTGGTAACTTTTCAATCATAGCTTTTCTATTTCCTGGTTTAAAAAGTAACACATGTTCATTATAAAATATTTAATAAGTATAGAAAAATAATCACACATAATATTTAATAAGTGTAGAAAAATAATCACCCATAAATCTGCAATCCAGACATAACCACATTTAACATGTTATTTTTGGTTTGTAGTATGTATGTACAAATAATAGTGTACACATATATATTAACACATACATATCTTGTGGATAATAAATTTTTTTTTTTTAAATTTTTTCTTTATTGCAGTAACATTGGTTTATAACATTGTAAAAATTTCAGGTGTACATCATTGTACTTCTATTTCTGCATAGATTACATCATGTTCACCACCAAGATACTAATTACATCCCATCACCACACACATGTACCGAATTATCCCTTTCACCCTCCTCCCTCCCCCCTTCCCCTCTGGTAACCACCAATCCAATCTCTGTCCCTATGTGTTTGTTTATTGTTGTTATTATCTACTACTTAATGAAGGAAATCATGCGGTATTTGACCTTCTCCCTCTGACTTGGATAATAAATATTTTTGAATATTTGTGTGTATATTCTTATTTAGATATATAAGGAGAATTTACTCTTGATAATTAAAATTTATTTGGAAACAATTCTAAGAGATTGATAACATTTTGTGGGTAAATATTTCTTTCCTTCTTTAATCTTTTTTTCTATTTTTGAACATTTAGGCTATTTATTTCCTTTTATCACAATAAATAATAATTATCTTTGCATAGTGTTTTTGTATTTCTGATTATTTCCATATAGGATCCTACAAATAGAACTATAGGATGAACTTACTACTAAATTGCTTTAGTATTTATTTTATTGCCTCTGCTCCAAATTCACTCTTTGTTGTGACTCTGTGAAAATGGATATGGACCCTTGAAATAGGATTCCTTTGCAGCTTACATGATATCATACTTTGTCAGTAGAGGGTGCTAGAGAAACACTGTAGGAGGAAGTTGGTCTTTCTTGATTCCTAGGGGCTGGCTGGCCAAGCTCCTGGGAAGCTGACTTTTTCCTCCACTCCTCTGCCCAGAGTGGTTTCTCCAGTGCTAGTTGCCTGTAGGGTGCAGCTTTCTCTAGCATTTGTTCCCCTAGCCCCTTTTCCAGCTTTTGATTGGGTTTGTGGTGGCATAGCCTGTAGCCCCTGCAGGCCTGTGTCCTAGCTCAAATCATTGCTTTCCACACCTTCTTGACTCAGTGCATGCTACCAGAGAGGGTCCTGTGGGGCTGGCTACCTAGTGAGCCACTTGCCCAACCTTTGTCCCATGCAACCTCAAAGATACCATAGCCCAAGTCATACACGGAATTATACTAGGTTCCTGCAAAGGAGGCCCCTTCAGCCCCAGTCCTAGCAGCACCTGCAGCAGCACCTGTGACTCTGTCTTGGTGCCCACCCTTCAGCCTCAGCTTACCTGTGCCCCTAAACTTTGTTTCCTGTGGACTTCCAGACACAGACACTACGTAATCTGGGCTTTGTGCCTGCAGAGAAGCCCCAAGTCCCTCTGCACACCTGCCCACCTGCCTCAGCTGGTCCATACCCCAGGAGTTGTGCCTGCTTCCCCTACGGCTGTGGCCCTGCTCTGCTCGGGGCAACCAGGGAACTTCTCCTCTCTTCAGTGGGCTGCAACCACACCTTTTCCTTCTCTCTCTCTCTCTTTTTTTTTTTTTGTGAGAAAGATTAGCCCTGAGTTAACATCTGTTGCCAATCCTCCTCTTTTTGCTGAGGAAGATTGGCCCTAGGCTAACATCCATGCCCATCTTCCTCTACTTTAAATGGGATGCCGCCACAGCATGGCTTGATAAGCGGTGGGTAGGTCCGTGCTGGGATCCGAACCTGCGAACTCCGGGCCGCCAAAGCGGAGCGTGTGCACTTAACCACTACACCACCAGGCTGGCCCCAAGAATATGCTTCTTTTTTATTTCAAGGGCTGGCAGCTTTTATTTCTGGAAGCCAGTTGATGATATTTCAATTCTCTTGAGAGTTCAAGCTACGAGAAGTTTAAACTGCGTGATATCTGAAGATGCCATTTAAATTCAGGTTCATTAAATTTTACTATATAAAACTATTTGGAATACGTAGTATCCATGCTTATTTCAGTTATTGAAATAAATTCAAGCTCATTTCAGTCCAACTGTGAATCCTAGTTAACCTCATCACTTCAAAGAGAGACAAGCTTTTCTGACAGTTTCTACAGATTCAAGTTCATATGTCTTTGTATGAGTGCAAGTATAGATTTTATGCTCTCATCAAATAGTAACATCTCTCTAATTTTGTTAAAGTGTTTTAGCAATAGTGGCCTATACTGCTAAACTGTCGTCTCTGTTTTTACTACCCGTTTACTTTGAAGACATTTCAGTATAATAGCCTTTTCTGTACTGAATCTGAAAATGAGGAGAAAAAGAGAGTTAAAAATTGGACACATTTTGTGCATTGAACTCATAAAGGACCAAGCACCCAGTGTACATGCTCTTGACTTACTTTGTTATTGTTCTCTGAATCTCTCTTTTCTCTTCCTCATTTAATCTTTGAAGGATGGATTCCAGGAGAGAAAAATGGAAGTTAATGTATTGAGCTACCTGAAAAGGAAAAAAAAAAACAAAAACAAGAAAGAAAGAAGAGCATTTATGTGAGAGGTGCTGAGTCAGGAGGAAGCCAAGACAGATTCAGGGTGACGGTATCCATACATCACTGCTAATTTCTTCTGCTTCTTTATCCATGAGGAAAATGCGAGCGTTCTTTGTGGAAGGTCCCTGTAGGAGCCTTTGCAGTAGCGGAATGTCTGTCTTCTTGAGCCGTCTCCGCTCTGCAAATGAAAACAAGAATCAACTACAGTCAAGAGTCCATACAGAGGAAAAGAAGAAAGATGCCCTTACTAGAGAAAAAGAAGAAAGATAATTTGTCCATTCATTTTCTTTCTTTAGCTCACTTTCAAAGATGAGCTAAAAAGAACATACAATAGGAGGCACTCACTCAAAAAAGTAAGTTGAAATTAAAACCTATTTAAAGGTTCATTTAAGAACTGAAAATGGACTGCTTTCTCTTGCTATCCCTCAAGGTTTGACTTTATAACTCGGAGAATTCAATCGTGCCTTTAGTTAGGGATGTTCAGACAAATCTCCAGTCTCATTTATACCTTTTATCAAGCAATGCACCTCAAAAATTCTTCATAATTTTTCATTCATTCAACAAATATTTATTGATTCTTTCCTAGTTCAGTTAATGTAATTCCATGTTTCCAACTGTTCAGGTCCAAAACCTTTGTAATTATCCTCAATTCTTCCGTTCTCTCTCACCCCATATCTAATCTTGGGCTCTTCCTTAAAAATACATTCAGAATTTTTTGACATTGGGGTCAGTATATTTATGATTTTATTCATCTGTGGGCTTCATCCATTCAGCCACGATAATGAGATAAAAAGAAAATAACTTCCAATTTGGTATATTCCCAGAACTTCAAATTTCCAAAAGTTATAAATACACCCACCACAAAAGCACTTCTAGCTTTCTGTCAAAGTAGTTTCACATCTGTGATTTCATTTTTATCAGAATGAAGCATGAACAGAACATAGTACCCTGCTATTCATCTTCTTTACTCCGTCCTTCCTTCCTTAAGTATTTTTTGAGTTCCTATACTATGTGTCAGGCATGGTTGTATAGTGCTGGGTACACTACAGAACAAAGCAGAGTAAATCACTTCCGTCATGGACCTTACATTCTAGTGGAGGAGACAAATGATAAGGAAGGTAAATCAATAAAAAATTCTATATGTTAGTGATAAGTATTCAGGAAAAAAATAAAGCAAGGAAGGAGAGTAGAAAGTGTGTGTGTGTAGACATATGTGTGTAGAGGAGAAGTCACAATTATTGATAGGGTTGCTGAGGAAGGGGTCACTGAAGAAGTAACACTTGAGTAAAGACCTGAAGGAGATGAGGGATGGAACCATGAAGCTATTTGGGGGAAGTGTGTTCCAAAGAGAATAAGTAAACAAGTAAAACACCCTTGAGGCCAGTGCATGCCTAATGCCATCAAGGAGCAGCAAGGGACCAGGGTGGCTGGCGTGGAGAAGAGGAGGGGAGGGTTAGTAAAAGATGAAAAAAAGAAGTAATAGGGCCAGCATAAAGACTCTGGCTTTACTGTGAGAAGAAAGACCATTGGAGGATTTGAGAAGAGATGTGACATGGTCTGACCTACATTGTTAAAGAACAATTCTGTCTGCTATGTTGAAATAAAGACTGAAGGGGAAAGGGTAGACTAGGTAGTCCTTTCTACATTATCATCTATCTATGAAATCAATTCCCTTGGGCTCTTAAAAGTTCCAAGAGTCAGAACTGTTCTCATCCCTTGGGCTGGACTTATCCCAGGAAAAAAGGCCAGAGAGGGTCTAGAACACAGAAGCTCGGCTTCCCCACAATTAAAGTGGACACTATCCATTCCTGTTTCCATAGAGTCAGAGTTAATTGCTTTAACTCCTCCACCATTTCTGAAGCAATCAGGAAACCCAATAATTTAGCTCTTCTCTGTAACCCATCAGAATCCCCTTTTGACCTCTACATCTTATGTTAACTTGGTTTTGCATTTTCAGTTTGTTCTGTTCTTGATATTATAGAGCAAGGTTTCTTACTTCATGATTTTGCTTCATGGTCACCTTGGATAATTATTAGACATACATATTCCCAGATTGTCCCTAGATCTAGGGGGGCTTGGGAATCTGTATTTTAAATAAATGCTCCAGGTAATTTTGAAGTGCACTACAATTTGAGAAGTAGTGTCATAGATCATGGGCTTAGTAGCTATAAGATGTTAAAACACACCTATGTTTATTTCCCAGATTATTACCCAAGTGGGTGCTATGTACTCCATTGTTTTCTCTGTTCCTGGTCCCTAAAAGGTCCTAGTTATGATTATCTTCAGTTCTTGATTTTATGTGTAAGAAATTTTGATACAAAATATAAAAAAAACCCATGATTTTCACAGATAAAATTGTAAAGAACTACATTTTTACAGCGAAAACAGACATTTTTTTCTGATTATAAAAATAACACGTGCTATTAGGAGGGGAAATGGGGATGTAGGTCAAAGGATACAAATTTTCAGTTATTAGAGGAATAAGTTTTGAGGATCTAATACAAAGCATGGTGACTATAGTTGATAATATGGTATTGTACACTTGAAAGTTGCTGACAAGTCGATTTTGAGCATTCTTACCACAAGGAAAAAAAAGAGTTAACTATGTGAGATGATGATGTGTTAATTATCTTGATCTTGGTAATCATTCCACAATCTATATGTATATCAAATCAAAATAATATATACAATTAGGTTTGTCAATTATTCCTCAATAAAGTTTTTTTTTTAAAAACCCACATGCTATTGTAATTGAAACTATGGAGAAAAGTATAAAACAGAAATTAAAAATCATCTGGAATCCCAGAACTCTGAGACAATCAGCCTTACCCTTTGAGTCACCATCCCTTCATATATCTCTTTAGGCACACACAGAAACACTCGCTACATAAAGGGGGTCATATCATCCTTGCTACTTTTATTGTAGACATATTTTTAAAAAAATCATGACTTAGTAGGGTTTTTTTTTTTTTTTTTTTTTTGCTTCTGTGTTCATCCCCCTTCCCATCCTCTTTTCTGCAGCTCCCCAATACCCTAACCAGGTAATTGATGTTAATGGCTTGGTACTTATCATTCCATACCTTTCTCTCTGATCATATGATCATTATATACCACATATTTAAATAGGGATGTATAATTCTTTTTAAAAAATGCAGCATTTTTAGGTATCTTGCATTTTTCATTTGATATATATTATGGAATTCCCTCCATTCAATGGGTATAAATCTAACTCATTCCATTTAATGGCTGCATAATAATCACTTATTCAGTTATTCCCATATGATGGGCAACTTTGTGTTCAGTTTTGTTTTCAGCTTCATTATAAACAGCCTTACACATAAGTCTACAGTTACTAGTTCTTTTAATTTTGTGAAATAGATTCTCACCAGTGAGATTTCTGGGCTAAAGGATTTGTATACTGTAAATTTTAATAAATATTGCTAGGATGAGTTCCAAAAAGGCAAAGACAGTCATATTTTCACCAGAATTGCATAAAAATACCCTTCTACCCTTATCTATGTCAGCCATAGGTAGAATCATTTTCAAACATTTCACCAATCCAGTAAGCACGAGATAATATTGCATTGTGGATTGAACTTGCATTTCCTTGACTACTTGTAGTATTTCCTTGAATACTTGTATTACCTTGAGTTTAAGACTTTTCCTAAAAATATGCACTGATTATTTTACTTTGTTATTCTTTGAACTGATTATCATACTTCTTTCTATTTTTATTAGATTGGTTGTCTTTTTGTTTTTTGCAAGAACTCTGATATTGTAGGTACTAATCTTTTATCTGATATTCTCTAAAATCTATTGTTTGTATCTTTTACATTTTTATACTAACCAATACTTCTACCTTTTATTTTATGCCTTTTAATTTTTTTCCTAAACAACTAGAATATGAACATATATCCTTAGAATTTTCAAAAGTTTATATGTATTTCTTATATTTAAGCTTTCAAATTATAAGGACTTTAAATTTTGTATATGTTTGGAGATCCAGCTCTCATTTTCTTACAGTTATTCTGGCATCAAAATGTATTATTTTATTCTATTCAATTGCTGGCTCAAACATTCTGACACATTATAACCTGGGATATTTCTACAATTTAATGTTTAAGCTTTTTCAATTTTGAGGTTTTCAAAAATTCCATTTCAGTATCACCTTAGGTTTTCTCTAATTTCTTTCAGTCCCTGCTCCTAGCACCCACATATAGCGCCTTCCCAATGTCCTGTTTCTCACTTTTTACCCCCTACCGCCAACTTCTGAATATGTTTCTCTACTGAGGAAGAGATAACACTTCTACAATGTGTCAGATACTGTGCTAAGAAAGAAATATTAACAAGATCAGAGAGAAGTAGTATGCAATGAGGATGCCAGTAAGAGCTAGAGGGAGAAGGGAAAGCCAAAAAGAAAGAAGCACAGAGGTCAACAGTGACTTGAATGCCTAACAATACCTGGGAACCCTCGAAGGATTCTTGAGGGCTCCCATTTCCAGATAATGTAATGTCTGGCCAACAAGTAAACACTTTTGTATGATAAACTCTTCTAGGATACCTTATTCCTACGTTCTTTTAAAACACCTCCTTCTCTTCCCTCTTCCTTCCCTCCCTTTCTTTCTTCCACAGAATGATATTAACTGCTCTTCTGTCTTCCCTATGGGCAGAAAACTGTAACACATTGGAGTCATGTAAAAAGAGTGATCAAGCTCTCTTACCTCCTGTCGCAAAGATAATGTAAAGTGCAAAATCCTGGGCACTATTTTCAATCTGTCAATGGAAAAAAATGAACAGGTGTGAATTCTATGTTGTCATATGTTTTCTAAGGCAATCAGACCCAAATTATGTACCTGTTTCTTCACTTCCTTTTTTCACTTTCAGTCATAAAATGCTCTTTGCTCCCCAGGAATAATAAAATTTCTCAGGCATAATTACTAAAAGTGTCATACATACGAAAGAACTCTTCAGAACTGAACATTTAACTTAGATTTACATGTTCATAGGTCTTTTTATGAAGGGTGCTTTTATGTGTCTACAGTTAAATTATATATAAGATATTTATAGTTCAGTATAGTGATAAAGATTACCTTAAATTTTTGGAGAAGCTGTTTTATTACTTCTTCAGTTCTCATGTTACTGTTTATTCTGACTTTAGTTTCTGATCCAAAGGCTGGAGTGAAAATTGATGTCTAGAAATTAAAAAAAAAAGATTATTATTTAAGTCCTTAAAATTACATCAAAGTAACAATAGTCATTAAATTGAACTTGCTCTTCTTATGAGCCAAAAAAATGCAAGATCACCAGTTTAAAAAACTTGTTTCTTGTTTTTGCTTTGTTGTTGTTGTTGTATATTACGTATCCTTTTAAGCAGCTTTATATTGTTTCCAGAGTAAGTTAGGTAAAATATCATTTGAGGATGTTTAAAACATTTTCACTAGATAATCACACCATTCTTCAGTATAGTTTAAGATTTTAAAATAAATTATTATAACTAAACACAAATAAAAAGTAATGTCAATACTTTCATTGTCAATGTCAATACAAATAATGTCAAACACAAATCAAAATCGAAATGTCAGTTTTCAAACTCACATGTCATGTCTTCCTCCTAGTTGGGGATAATTGTTCTAAGTTTGAACTGTGTGAAATCATTCCTTTTTGGTTGGTCAGAAATGGTCCAATGTTGGCAATTTCATATGGTGCAACCTATATCTCAACTGAGGGTTGGGGTAAAAGTGCTACCTGTTGAAGGTCTAGAACAATGTTTCCCACAGTTGCTCTAATCAGGAGTCTGCCTTTCAGGTGATATTTGGTAAGAGGTCTTCATGGTCAGATATATCTGAGACATCCCTCTTGGGGATTAGAAATGCACCATAAAAAATCATAAAATATAACCATGGATTCTTCACTCATAATTTGATCATTATCCATACTTTAAAATAAATAAAATCTCTTAAATATACCTATTAATATCCAATGGATCATTCTTTGGGAAACGATGGCCAATAATATTTGTTCAGCTAGGATTTCCCTCACTTGTGCATGTTTCCTGGTGACATATCTATACAGGGATTAAGGTACATGTGTGCTTAGGAAAGGGCTGATTGCTCTACTTAGGTAAGTCAATATGTAAGTAAATTAGTTGTTATTAGGTAGAATATATAACTCCTGAAAGTAATGATATTATTTCAAAGAATGACATAGAATTCTCAAATAATTATTGATTTAACATAGTCCTAACTATGTGCCAAGATCTATTCCAAGCCCTTTATAAATACTAATTAAATCCTTATAAAAAATTTAGGTAGACTAAATTAATCTTAAATCCTATAATACAAATGATATATGTTCAAATTTAAAAAAATAGTGAGTAGAGACTCAGAAGATAGGTATTTTATGGGATACTCATCTTAGAAGAAATATGACTCCATATGTGCCAGAGCACATAAAAGGGAAAAAATTTTTTCTCACTCATTAGGTAGCAGAAAGTAAGAAGAATGGCATGAAATGTATATTTTAAAATGAAAAAAGACATTAAGATTTATTTCCATATATTTCATTTACATGTGTAATCTCCAAGTGTTCCAAGACTCTGTAGACATGCGGTGGGTTCAACAGACATGGAAATGGGTGGGTTTTGGGGTGGCTCAATGGAATGTTAGATAGATGAGCTCTGTATTGGGAGATTAGTAAATAAACAGCAAAGCGTATATACGCACAGCATTCGTGTGAGTAAAAATATGGATATGGAAATAAGTTTTAAGAGAAGATATATGATGACGTCTGGAATAAACTTTTGTTAAGTATGAGAAAATTCAATGTTTGTAAACATTGTAAGGCACTGATGAGCCACTGTGACACTTGGTGCTTCTGAGTTCTGTGCAGCCCTGAAGAACCATGTGTTAATCCTGCATGGAGGTGAGGGTATGTTAGATACGTGGTTTGATGTCATTTATAGGAAGAATCTTCATGGAGTTTGGCAATAGCACTAGATTAGGAGTCAGGAGACCTAGATTCTAGTGTCTACTAATGCCAAGTTTGTCAACTTACTTAACATTGAGGCCTGGACATGCCTCAATAATTTCATTTATAAAAGAAGAGAGTAGGACTAGATGATCTTCAAGAGCCCTTCTAAGATGCCAACATACAATGAATTTGGAATCACATTTTTCAGAGTTTTAATTTGAAATCACATGTTTTACACCAGTTTTGTTGGCCAAAACATATAATGAAAACTTGTTATAAAATCATTTATTATTGAATGGATAAAAATATACCAGAGGTCAAGTCATAGTCATAACTTATTTACAAAGATCAAAATCTAAGCCTCTAATATTGGTATATTCACGGCCTGACAATATTGGCATTATCAAGAGGTTTCATGATATAAAAACACATCTTATGACTATATCAACTTAAATTCCTAAATGCCCATCATTGCTTACCCACTGATAGAGTGCTTTGGGTTTTTGGGTTTTCTTTGTTTTGCCTTCTGCTAGTTCTCGAATTGCTGTGAATGACATTTGTATGAAATATCTGTAGTTCCAACTTGACTGCTTTCAATCAACAATAATAAAGCTTACATAAATTGAGTTCTTCCTTTGTGCCAGATACTATGCTAACTGCTTAACTCACCTCATCCCATTTAATGCCTTCGACAACCTTGTAAAGTAGGAAGGATGAGGGAACTAAGGCTAAGAGATTGAGTAATTTTTTTAACTTTTTGCTCAGCAAGAATTTGAAATCAGGTCGTCAACGCTGCAGCACCCAAGCATTTAACCACTCTGCTGTGCTGCCAACTTAGTGCCAGTTTCATTCTTAGCACAGGGGATCCCATCTGGAAGCTGCTCGTTTGGAACAATATGGCTTTCACAGCCTTCTTTAACACAAATCACCCCACAAGATGATGACATACAGCATAATTCTGAGGGGAAGAAGAAATGAGAACAATAGGTAGTTGCACATCTTTGGGGGATTGACAATGTTACTTTATGGCCACAAGGAAATTTTGAGCCATAAAAATGTCTAATGCAAACAAAGAATTCAGAAGGGAGGTTTCTCCCCACGAGTCTCCAATGGCACACTATAGATACCCTCCCAAGAGTAGAAGAAGAAAGAGTAAAGTAGAAAGCCCAAGCCAAAAAAAGCTTAACAAGAATAAGTTAATATTTTGTATTAAAGGGCTTAGGATGGTGCCTGGCAAAGAGTAAGTGCTTTTTAAGTATTTATTAAATGGATGGATGAATTACCGCTAAAGTACATGACATGAAAAATATTTGAGTTCTAGAAAAAAATGATATATTTCCTACCTTCAGCAAAGTGAAATGTTTTACAAATACCATGGACAGGCACATGTAAATTTAACACATTAAGTGAAAAATCAGAATACAAATTATATTTAAACATAACTACATTTGCATAAAAAAATGATATGTATATATGTACAAGACCTGGAAGGGAAGGTGGCAAAAGGAGAAATTTGATTTATTGGAATAAATAGGCCCGTGGCTGATTTTTTCCTTTTGTTTAAATGCTAACATTCAAGTGTACTTTGAACCAATCTCTATTGTAGCACTTACGTTTTTCTAATGCCATTTGTCAATATATTGGTTTCTTTGCCCAAGCCCTGAGTTCCACGCTCGCAGAGGCATCAAATGGGTCATCTTTATATTTCCAGTGCTTGGCACAGGGCCTGCCACTTAGATAGAGTACACCCATCACATTGGTTAAGAAATGGGGTTCTGGAGTCAGACAAAACTGGGTTCAAGTTCAGAGTTGCTACTTAAAAGCAGTGTGACCTAAGACAATTTACTTAACCTCTATGAACCTCAATTAATTCATATATAAAGTAGGGAAAACAATGGTACCTATTTCATAGGATTGTTTTAGTGATTAATGAGATAACTCATCAAAAATCAATTTAAAAATTTAGTACCTAACACACAGAGAGTACCCAATAAATATTAGATATACTACTACTATTATTATTATTACTAGTTTTAATGTCAGTTGAATTGAGTGGTACTGTTAGCACAATAGACAATAATATTTTAAATGACATTAATGAGACTGTACTCACTTCATGGTTATAAAAGTGCCCGTTAATAGAGGCCCTATGGTTCTGTCCATCTTTTCTGTCCATCATTGGAGGCTTCATCCTTTTTCTCACCAGGGTTGCTTCACTCATGGTTCTATAGAGCAAGGGGGATTCTGCCTCTTTATCTGCATGAGGCTTCAGAGTGCTGCTGTGATAAGACAAATCATCTGGGAAGAACAAAGATCATAAGCCCATATCATTTAGCTGCCCACTTCTGCATCCTGGGTGGATTTGTATACGTTCTTGATAAGTAAACATGCAGCTAAGCAATGGACTATCATGCTTTTAAACAATGAGGAAATAGCAGTGTTCTTGTATAAGAACAGGGCCATCTGGTGGCATTTGTGTTCAATTTTACCTTAGGTTTTAAATAATTTTCTATTGTAACTAGAGTATCATCAAATAGGCATAAGATATCTCCTCTTTCTCTAGCACTGGTGCTTAAATACAAATATATTTTTATAGTATCTTTGGTGTCAAGATATTGGGATTTTCCTGGGCTTAGATGAGTGTTTTCAAAGGGCTAATTGGAAAGACCCTTCTATAAAAGATGCCAAGAGGCCATAAGACAAAGATAAAGAAATCCTGGGAGGAACATGTTTCTTATAGTATCTGGGTTGTATAGACATAGCAGAAGAGGCTGAATTAAGAATGGTTTGGAAAAAAATAACTAAACATTGGAGGTTGTTGGTGGACTCATGAAGGTAATGCCAGCAGGATACCCTTGTTCAGTCTGAAGTCAGCTTGGCCATATCACCACCCCAGGAACATGAACCCACCCCCAGCCTCAGTCATCAGCTCCTCCTTGGGTCTCTATATATTATATGAAAACCAAAACCCATGTAAAATACGAGATATCATGCCTGACACTTAGCGGAGTCTCAGTAAATGACAGCAACTAATATCATTATTACTATCACATCACCATTATTATGACTACTGATGTCACATGTCATAGGAGCTGGCATTTTCCATTGGATTGCCAAGTTTGATATGAACTCTTTTGATGTTCAAGTAGATTTCTTTTTTAAATAACTGCTTGAAACAATTCCGTCAAATATAAAGTGACTCCAGTATATCTGCCTCTTTCTGAGAAGCAAGGTCATGCAAATTTCTATTAATTAAAATGTTCAACTTCTAAACAGAGGTAGAATTCAATCTGAGGGGCTCGGTCTAACATGAAAAGCTAATGAGTATAATAAATGATTCTAATCCTTGGGGAAAATATTGAACAATTTTATGTATACAAACTTTATTCCAACCATTAGCTCTCACTAATCTAATAAATCTAAGTGATGACATAATTTTTAAAGAGCATCATATTTTTATACAGCAAAGTAAGGTTCTTAAACATCATATCAGCACTGCATTGACTTAAGCTACTATGCCCCAAGAGATTTTTTTTTTTAAATATAAAATAAGAGTTTATTAAGTAGGGGTGTGTAAAATGCTAAATTTCAGAGAAATGTTTAGGATTCATGCTTTACATTAATTTTTTAAAAAGTCTCCCCATTAATACGAGTTTGATACTGACCTTCCTGGGAATTCATTGCTTTAGACATTGGAATCTGGCTCCTGTCCAGCTCACTAATACGATAAAGATCATCAAATTCCCCCCAGCGTGTCATTCCCCTGGAAAGTAATAAATCTTGTAAGTGACATCCATTCCATTCGTAATAAGGCCTATGGTGGTTTTCAGATTTCAGGGTTAATGTAATACTGTGGGCCTCCGTAGGTAGACATATCATCCTAAGTTATAACAACTTTATGATAGTATTAAAATTATATTCATACCCGAGTGGTTAGCATATACTTTAAATACTTCCTATACATATCTTGACACAGTAATTCAGTTACACACTGAAACACAAGGTTATATAGATTCTGTAAAATGTATGTGCAAGTGGAATTAGTAGAAACCAACATAATCCACTGATATACAGCTATCTCACAATGCTTATAGGAGAGCTGAGATACAAAAGTGTTCATTCTGCCAACATGCATTGAGTTTATATTGTATTCAAAGCATTGTTAGGTAGTGGCTCTAAAATAATAAGATATAGTGCCTATGTTTAAGGCCCTTGACTACTATAAAGAATAAAATTTACAAAGGAAGAAAGTGTATGAGAAACTTTTTTTCTAGAAAATTATGATTTATAGAAGATACTAACAATTTTCAATGCATTCTAATGCTCAAAACAAATAAAACTGGGCAACTGCTTATTTTTACCAGCTGGGCCAACACTCACCTATATTTTATGTATCTGGCCTTAGACAAGTTACTTATCTTCTCTGTGCCTTACTGTCCTTATCTATAAAACGGGGATGCTAATTATATGACATAGGATGCAGTTGTTGAGAAGATTGAGTTAATTTGTGTAAAATTCTTGAAACAGTCCCTAACACATAGTAAGCACTCAATATGTGTTAAAAATTATTGTGATCATCCACATCTTCATTGTCATTCTCATCCTCAGCCTCATCACCACCATCTGTATCCATTTCATGATAAGCCAGGAACTATTAGGGATCCAAGATATTCTTGGATCTCTCTAGACCATTATTGATGAGACCAGTCCTAGTCCTACTAAGGGTCTCTTCCATAATGTCTGTTTTCCTTATGACCAAAAAGTATTCACTCATAGGGAATTTGTGGCATTAACTCTACCCAAATGTCACTGGTGGCAACACAAAAATGCTTATTAATACTAGTGGTGGTGAATATGAATAAACATGATCCTTTTTTCCCTTGATCTTTGAATTCTTTTGAAGGCTTTTTACAACTTTTATATCATTTGATCCTCACAACAGCCTTTCGAAATTGATAAGGTAATCCTAATATATTTGTTAATTTTCCAGTAAGCTCTACTATCCAGAATGTAGCAGGCAAAACAAATGCTGTAATGCCCAAGAACCAAAGGAAATAACTTTAAGTCAAAGGAGAACTATTCATGTCCTGACTCAGAATTGAGTTCTTCTTACGGTAGATAAAATTATCAATTTTCCCTAATCTATGGGAGATTAATAAACAAAAGGAGGCAGATATAATTATCATAGAAAGAAGGTTAGCAATGGAAAAGACAGATTACTAAAGAAAAGTAGAAACTAAAAAGGTAAAGCAACCTGATACTATTTCATATGGGGAGATGAGAATGCCCAAGAATGCCAGACCAGTGATGTGCTATAAATTCTTGGAAACCCTGGCAGACTTGACACCTGTCCTCACTTTCTTGCAGCTTAGTGGAACCACACAAATACAGGGGGACAAACGAGGCTCAATATATGCAGTGTTTGGCCCCTTTTCCTCCCTACCATCTCAGCAGAAAATGCCAGTTTTTAGCTCTAAAACTGTAATTGTGTAATTTGTGTAATTGTGATTGTGTAATTGAAGTGTCACCACATACAACTGGCAAGCTTGAGGCCAGTTACCCAGAGTTTTCAAAAAAAAGAAAAACCTGGTTGGAACTTTACGTAATATCAAATTGTTTAACTTGCTCAAGCACAGGACTGTTTGCATTGCTCTGACCAAGCTTCAGGATGTGTGCCATTAGCAAATTTAAACTGTGGGGAGGTTTTCTAAAGAATTGCAAAATAAAAAGGAGGTAGAAATTTGATAGACAAATAGAATGCGGTCACTCCTCTATCCATATTGTAAGAAAGAAAAAACACTATTGATGTTATTCAAATGTACACCTGTCCAGTTTCTGTTCTTTATGTCAATCTGCCATGACTGGTCCAAAATGTGCCAGAGCTGACTTTGAGAAGACATTAAAAACAGAAAGGAAAACTGGTGCAAGCAATCATAACTTCAATAAAGCTGTTTTTTTTTTAATGAAAAATTTCCAAAGGAAAATACTTGGACCAGATATGAGAGATCAAAGTACTGCCCATGGAATCATTTCCATAAAGGATAACAAGTGGTCACAGCTCAAACAAACCAATTTATCTTTAAGCTTCTACCACTCCCATTAAGCTGACTCAGTGTGACTCACTTCAAAGATAGTTAAAACAAACTAGCATGACAAACTGATGATTCTCTCAAAGGGTGAACTGAAAGATGCAAGACTGAAGCCCTTCCCACAGCTGAGTACAAAGCTTCCACTTCCTTCACTCTGCATCCACCCCCTGGAGATGGCAAATCTGTGACCCCACGAGGGCAGAGGTGTAAGTATTGCCCATAGATATGCAGTATGGGAAAGGGAACATGGGAGAAGTTTTACAGAGTGATGGACTAGTCCATTTCTTTACACAATTTCACTTGAGCCTCAGAATTTAAATGAATGCCACCGTAAGGGTGGCAGCCTGGGTGAGGGTGTCTAGTATTGGACTGAAACAAAGAATAGCACCTTAATTGGCTATACACCCCACTAGGAAACCAGAGGCCAAAGAACAGCCACTCCAAATCATGCCGCACCTTCCTGCTGAGTGCTCAGCTGGTTCCCAAGGAGGATTCTCAGCTAAAAATCACAACTGAATCTAATCTTGCTCCTATGTGTGTGAGAGGAGTGGGATGTTTTTCTGACAATTCTTACCCACCAGAAAGATCTGATAACACTGCAAGAAATTCTCTCAGTAAGTCTTGTTACTGTGGTAAAGGGCAAGCAAAGTTCTCTAGGGAATTCTTTCTCGACGTTAAACTAAAGGAGATAATTCCTGTTTGATTTGAAGCTCTGTTCTGATGAACAATGAAGAATGCAAATGGATTCTATGGAAGGTGTGACAAGAGGATATTAATTTATAATCTACCACAGTATATGGAGAGGCATCAATCTGACCTTATTACCTGGGCTTTTGAAATTCATCCCCTAATTCAGGACTTCTAGGAACAGTGTTTTGAATTTTAATTTGAGAAATTAAAAAAAATATCTTGGGGGCGGGCCCTGTGGCATAGTGGTTAAGTTCAGCACATTCTGCTTCAGAGGCCGGGATTCGCGGGTTTGGATCCTGGGCGCAGACCTACACCACTCGTCAGTCATGCTGTGGTGGTGACCCACATATTAAAAAAACAGTGGAGGAAGATTGGCACAGATGATAGCTCAGGGCTAATCTTCCTCAGCAAAAACAACAATAAAATAACAAAATCTTGGGATAGCGATTCAAAATAATGATGGCCTAATGTGATAACACAAGTACCTTAGTGTATTTCCTTAACATCCTCCCTTAATGTTCCATACTTATCAGGTTTTCATGAATCAAATAATTAAAATGTATCAAATGAGCTAGCAGTTCAGAGAACTTTGCAATGAGTTCTTAGGTAGTATGAAGAATGACAGCTAATGTTGCCATATTCATATCTTGTACAGTTTTCTAAAAGCAGAGCCCATGGGTAATTTTTCTCCTTTTAAATGATGCTCCTAGTCATTTAGAATCATCAGTCCCATTAGTCATCTATACCTGAATGTGAGGGATGAAGATTTCAGGCTGCCCAAGTCTGTGGTCTCTCTCCGCTCTTCCCTAAGTCCTGGATCGTTTGCCCATTGGCAATCCTTAGCTTGGATTGGAGACTAGTGAGATGTGGTAAATAGAGAGACAGAGTTCTCACAACAGAGCAGAGGTAATTTAACCACCAGGCTTCTGGGGGATTCACTCGATATTATATTTTGAGTCCCCACTTTGTGCCAAGAACATTGCTGAGCACTGGGATAACAAAGATGAATAAGACATGCTCCTTACTCTTGAGGAGCTCACAGGCTAGAGGGGGAGATAGGTGCATAAAAATGCAATTAATAGCATGCTCTGAAAATGATATAGAAAAGTTATCAATGCACCTAGTACAGACTGAAGGGTCAGAAAAGGCTTTCTGGAAAATGTGTTACCTCACCTGAATCATAAAGGATTGGTAAAAGAGAGTCAGGAAAACGGGTGTTGAGAAGCAGGTAGACTTCCAGGCAGAGTCAGGAAAGTAAGAAACTGCATGGTATGCACAGGGAATTACAAAATGTTCAGAATTGCTGGAGCAAAATATTTGAGAAAGATTGGCAAGATGCAAATCATAGTGGGGCTTCAGTGTTTTCTCCAAAGGAAAAGCGTGGCTTCCCTCCAGGTGATATCTGGTTTTCTTGGTTAGGGCCAAAGATCAGACTCGGGGAACGGTCTTGGCAGCTCTCTCTCCATCCTCTCCTCTGCTAGAACTCCAGCCCAACTGGTTATGGACGGGAGGATGGATGAGGTGAAGGCTTGGTACCTTCAATTTTACACAAAAGGGAGATGAGTTGGAAACTCAAGGAGTAAAAAGGAGAGGGGGACGGTAGAGAGAGGAAGAAAACAGAAAAAAAAATCATACCTATGATTTCTTCTGGGAATATTTATTAGTTTTTCTAACAATTATAAACAGTAATGAAAAAATCAGCCAACTTATATTTACATTCAAGGTAAGTTTGCATAAACCCACACAGAGAACTGTTTTGTGCCTTTATTGAGCTTCAAATGCACTTTGCTGTGCCCTGTCGAGCAGGATCAGGACAATCAGGCAGAGCATAATTAAATTTCCAGAAAGCAGGAAGAACCCTTTGTTCCAAGGAGAAGAGAAATTTAAATTGTATCTCCTTTTTTTGGTGACCAGGCCAGGGCTAATGAAATCTTGCCTTTGCATTTTGTCTTTTCTAATGAAGCAATGCAGTCTTCCAGGAGAGAAGCAATATAGCAGAGAGGTCAAGGGCGCGCACTCCAGAGCCTGTAGACCCGAGGTCCGGTCCAGTTCTGCTACATGGCGACTGGGGATCTTGCACGAATTACCTAACCTCTCAGAGCCCTGGTTTCTGAATGCCTACTTCACAGAGTTGCTGGGGGATTAAACGAGATTGTGTGTAAGCATCAGACTCCATCTTTAACAGTGCATACAATAAAGGTAAACATAATGATCATCTTCCAAGGAATTAAAAACGTGAAAGATAGCTTACCTTTTGGAAAAGACATCTGGTGACTTCGACGCAGTAAAAGAAGGGATGTGCTTCTCATCTTGTATTTTCAGCTGTATAGGCCGTTTCACTCCCCAGAAAATGTCCAACATTCCTTCAACAATTAGTTTACCATCTTCAGTCTAGGGAAGAAACTCATCACCTCAAACATTGTTTTTGTATTATTTGTAGAAGGTAAATGTTTTAACTGAACATGTAGAAATTAAGTCTGTAAGACATCTTAATAGATAAAACAATAAATTCTCAGGTGGGATTGTTTGGCTTTCCAATTTACGTACAAAATAATTCTATTTTTGAAGCATTCTTTTATTTTTGAAAACAGCTATAACCAGCAAAGCAAATAAGTCGTAATGGTAATGACGTCCACCAGAGGGCATAGTATGTTCAAATGCTTTCTGAACTCTATGATTCTTCAATTAAGTGGAAGTTTAATTCTCTAATTCTGTTTAAGTTAAAACTAAAGCAGAATTAAAATCTGCACTAAACTAGAAATCAGAAGAGCAGCTATTGAGAGATTTGGTGGCTGTCTCCTCATTTCTGAACAGTAGAACGAAAACACAGTGGAAAATGCAAAACAGAAATGAAAGTTTTGAAAAATCAATAGCATTTGAAGAATTTCTAAGTTAGAAATATTATAACACGAGAAAATGCCATGCAAACATAAAAAAATTAGAAAACATGGATTGAACACTTACTCTGTGGATGTAAATATTATTAACAAAACACATTCCCATAGAATTTACTTTATAATTTATTTTTCTCTTTTATATGTAAAAGTCTTTTTCTGTTATTAAAATAATGTATTATCATTATAGAAAATTTGTAAAATATAGAAACTAAGAAGAGTCATATTCCAACTAATAACTACTGTAACATCTAATAACTATTTTTATTATAAAAAATCAATTATTAGAAAACATAAATGATTCAATTCTTATTTGATAATGTAATGAAAACTCCAGGTTCTGGAATCAGACAGACCTGTGCTTGAACCCTAGCTATACCACTTCCTAACTCTGTGACCTTGGACAAGCTGCCAAATGCCTTTAAGCCTGGGCTACTTCTGAAAAATGGACGTCGTAATTGTCTCTAATTCATAGGACCTGGTATTTAATAAGTGCTCAAAAAATATTATTGCATATTACGTCTTTAGCTGATAAACCTACTGTGGAGTCACTTCTGAAACAAAGTTTTGCTCTTTCTCCCACTTTGAGTGCACATTTCAGGTTAATGAGAGGTCAGGTTACCATAATTTTTTCTTCGAAATGGCAGTACATGATGCAGATACCATATTTTAGTTATTGATGTAGGCATCCTTTCTTTGCCTAATTATATTTAAATTAATCCCTTACATTAAAAACTCATAGAATAACTGCTCTTCTGAGGTTATCTAATTCTTGCTTTCAAGAAGAAATACTCCAACTATTATCAGACAATGCTATGTTTTCTCATGTAAGGAATACAAGATTAGTTTCTAACTTCAGAAAATATCTCTTTAGAGACTAACTAAATAAATTATGCCTGAAGGCTTATTTACACTTATCTAATCTCATTGTCTCAATCCTTTTAGGCCTCTTCTCTTCTAGATCTACACCAATTTCCTTGGTGATCTCAAGGATCCTCATATGCCATCTCTAAACTTATAGCTCCCAATTTTATATCTCGAGCCCAAACCTCCCACTTGAACTCCAGTTGCCAAGCTGCCTACTTGACATCCAACTTAATATGTTCCTAATTAATTACTGATCTTTCTCCCATAAATAGTTTCCTCTCCAAGTCTTCCTCATCTTGGTAAATAGCACCCTCATCCTTCCAGTTGCTCAAGCCAGGAATTTTAGAGTCACCTTTAATCTTTCTTTCATACTCAACATTCAATGCATTAGCAAGTCCTATTAGCTCTACCTTAAAAATATATCCCTAAAATGGCCACACTCACCACGTCCAATACCTTGATTCTGGTCCACGCCATTGTCATTGTTTGCCTGGACTATTGCAATAGTTTTCTTTTTGTTCTACTTCATTCTTCTCTTGCCCTTCCATATATTCCCAGTAGCTAGAGAGATCCTTTTAAAAGGAATCCTTTTAGATAATGTCACTGTTCTATTCATAACTCCCCAGTGGCTTCCCATCTCATTCCAAGCACAAGCTGAAGTCCTCATAATGACCTACAAGACCCTACACACTCTGGTGTCTCCGCTTCTCACTTCTCTCTCTAGCTTCACTGTTTACCAATTAACCATTCTTTTTTTTTTTTTTTTTAAAAATTTTATTTATTTTTTTTCCCCCAAAGCCCCAGTAGATAGTGGTATGTCATAGCTGCACATCCTTCTAGTTGCTGTATGTGGGACGTGGCCTCAGCATGGCTGGAGAAGCGGTGCGTCGGTGCGCGCCCAGGATCCGAACCCGGGCCACCAGCAGTGGAGCGCGTGCACTTAACCGCTAAGCCACGGGGCCGGCCCCAATTAACCATTCTTACAAGGTTCCTACCACACTGGCTTCCCTGCTGCATGTTAATTACACCAGACAGGCTCAGAACCTTTATTCAGGCTGCTGTCTCTGCCCAGAACGCATGTTCCACAGACTTCTTCATGGTTTGCTCCTCACATCTTTCAGAGTCTTTGATTAAATACTTCTCTTCCCCCACCCCACTTAGATTCTTGAGCCCTCTTCCCTGCTTTGCTATTCTCCACAGCCTTTATCAGTCTGGCATACTATGCATTTTACTTCTTTGTTTCTTGTTTGTCTACTAGGATGTAAGCAGCATGAAGGTGGGACATTCTGTCTAGTTTCTTTATTGCTATTTCTCCAGCTTTTAGAACAGGGTCTGACACATGGTAGACAATAAATATTTGTTTTAATTAATTAATCAGAGATGAAGAAAGCTACATGTTATCCTCCATGAACTGCCCCCTTTAACAGTGTCCATCATTGTAACTAAGTCAAAAGATTTGGAAAGTTCTGGATTCTAACTTTAATGACCAGTGAGTAAAGATGGAAAGATTAAGCAATCTGATAGTTTCAGATTGTATACAGCCATGCGCCACATAACAATGCTTCAGTCAACAATGGACCATATATACAATGATGGGCCCATAAGATTAGGACCATATAGCCTAGGTGTATAGTAGGTGATACCATCTAGGTTTGTGTAAGTACACGCTATGATGTTCACACAATGACAAAATCTCCTAATGACACATTTCTCAGAACATACCCCATCATTAAGCGATTCATGACTGTACTTTACTTCATATAATTTTTAAAAATTATATAAGAAGTGAAACTTTATTTCAAAAATTAAGTGACCTTGTATTGTAAATTGAGCACCGATTCACAGAATTGGAAAGGACATGCCTCAACGTATGTTTATAACATCAAAATTCAAACATTTTCCTAAAGGAAACAAACTTCTTAACATCATGAATTTTGTGGAAACTGTCGAATTAAAATATAAATCATTCTCTTAAACTTTTTTAACGTTTTGATCTTTTCCTAAATTTTAGATTTTTACAGCTACCTATATTAAAGATCTAAGATATAGGACAATATTGAAATAATTTAAAGTTAGGCCCATTTCTTTATAAAGAGATTAGCCATTTCCTTCTTCTGTGTATTATTACATTTGGGAAGATAATTGAAATAATCAGACTAAATTGTTTAAACTCATTAGTAAAGGCCAGAATGCTTTGTAAATTTCTTTTTGTCCCAACTGCAGATTTAAGCCAAATCATGGCGGCCTAAAGTCAATGCTGTACCATGGAATTTGAAGGTTTAAATCAAGGATAGAAAATTCTAATGTTCCCTGGTACCAAGAAGATATTGTGAAGATGTGGAGTGGGCCCCATTAGAATACAAGACTCAGTGCAGACTGAGGCACTCAAATTAAATTAAAAAAAAAAAAGAACAAAGAAAATCTAAGGTCAGTCTGTACAGTAGCCTGCCAACTGTACCCCTAAAAATGCTTTCGCTTCAGGACTTTCCTGAATTGCTTCTTTAACATTTTAAAATTTATTATTATAACATAGTACACATTCATTGGAATCTAGACTCTTTTTTTTTTTTTGCTGAGGAAGATTTGCCCTGAGCTAACATCTGCTGCCAATCTTCCTCCTTCTGTATATGAGCAGCCACTACAGCATGGCCACTGACAGACGAGTGGTATAGGTCCGCACCTGGGAACTGAACCCAGGTTGCTGAAGTGGAGTGCACCGAACTTAACCACTAGGCCACTGGGGCTGGCCTGGAATCTAACTCATTAATTTTAACAACTAAATCAAACTATGTTAAAGATATGTCATTTGAACAATCCTCCTCTGGTAGAGACTTAAGATATCTTCAAATTTTTTCCGTTACAAATGATGTCACCATGAACATCCTTCTATATACATCTTGGTGCATTTGTAAGAAAGTATTAGGATAGATTTCTAGTGGAAGTGCCATTCAAAAGATATTCATACACTATTTTTAAAATAGAAAGCAAATATGTCATTAAAATTATTTTGAAATATTTTCCTACCCCAACAATGTTTAGAAAGTCACAGAGGTTTCAGGACTGGGATTTTGTGATATAGTCTAACAATAAGAATCATGATCAAGTTAAAGATTCACCTGTTTCTCCCAGACCACTTGTGCTGCAGGATTATGGACTCCAACTCATCCTGACTCCTCTGTACCTTTATAGAATTTTTTCCTGTGAATCAAACTATATTGCATTTCTTCGATGGGCTTACCTGTCCATATAAAATATGCAGATTTTTCTGATTCCCATAAAAAATGTTATAGGTCTTCAATAAAGAATTAAGTTGTTCCCTAAAAAAAAATGTTAATATTCAGTTACAATCAGTCTTAGGCTCTTTAATGGTAAAAGGCAATAATACTGCGTTCAGTTCATAAAGGTATGAGATAGAAAGAAATGGTTCAATGGCATCTTCACTGTTCTGTCATTTTAACTAATGCAGGTCATTGAAATCTGAAGCCTTCTTAGGACATCAACCAACAGTGAAGGTGCTAATTCATAAATAAATAACCAAAGAAGGGGAAATGACTAAAGGCAAAGTGGTGAGTTCTGTAACAGGAAGCAGCCATGAAGTAGAGATTTGGTTTCAGATTCCTTTCTCGTTTTGTAACATTTAACCAATGTAAACTAAGCACCTAGTACGTGCCTGACGGCGCGCTTCCTTCTGACTGGGGATACGGCAACAGCTCGGGAATTGTCGCTGCTACTGCTTGTCTCACCCTTTGCGGCAGGTGGGCTCTGGCAATAGGAACGCTGGTTCCTGCCACACCTCTGTCCTTGCCTTTGTGCCACCACAGCTCAAGACACTTATCCTACTTACCCTGCTGGTCTGAGCCATTGTCTCTCACCTGGATTATTACAACAGTCTCCTAAAAGCCTCCCTGTATCTGTTGACTACTCTCAACAGCAGGAATCATTTTAATGCAAACCTGACCATCTCTTTTCTTTGCTCAAAGCTGTCCAATATCTTTCTGATAACTTCAAAGGCCAGATGTGGTCTGGTGTGCTGTTACATCGTCGATCTCATTTCCTACTACTCTCTCCTTCACTCGCTGCACTCTAGCCACTAGCCTCCTTGATGTTCCCTGAACACTCCAGGCACGTTCTCATCCCAGGGCCTTTGTTTGTACTTGTTGATCCCTCTGCCCAGAATGATCTTCCTCCCACACTGTTAGCACATTCATTTTCTTTAACGATTTACTCAAAAGTGACTTTCTCAAGGAGTTCTTCTTGACCAATCAGACTAAAGGTTTGCCTTCTCCTGATATTCACATCCTGCTTTCCTCCTTACCTCTGTGTCTTGTATATATTCTGACCTTGTATATATTTTACTTATTTATCTTATATTCTGTCTCCCCCACTAGAATGTAGCTCCATGAAAACAGTGTGTTTGTATGTTTTGTTCACACTATATTCCATCTGCCTGGAAGAGAGCCTGGCACATAGTAAGAACTCAACAAATACCAGTTGAAGGAAATGATCAGAAAAATTATTATTCCTATAAAAGTGAAACATACCAAAAAAGGGGGAAAAGCATTTTATATAAGCAGTTTTCTGGGGGGAAAAAGCTCACAATATTAAATTTATAAATTTAATCACTAAAATCTCTTTATTCCTCAATATCTGTCTCCCTCCCATAAAAATATGGGCTCCATGAGGGCAGGAATTTTGATCTATTTTACTCATTGTTGTCTTCCCAGTCTTTAGAGCAGAGACTTACTCAGAGTAGGCTCTTATTCAATACATACTGAATATTGAATGACAGAATTTATGTATATTGATTTTCACATTGGAGATCATGTGAACATATTTTTTCCATTTGAATTTTCTCACTTGTAATTTTCAATGTGCACATTTCCAAGGATCAGTACAGTCTACACAATCACGACATAACAAATTTCGTAGAATTCCTCTATGGTATCATTTCATTTCCCGACTGGGTTACTTTAGAATTTTAGTGTTAATGAACATTTCTATTCTAAACATCAATGGGCACACTGATTTTGTTCCCTTGGAGTTATTGCTGTGGGATATTTCCTAAAAATTATAGTACTGGTGAGGAGCATGAACACTTTTATGGCTCTCTTTATTGAAGGGCAGGGCATATGGAAATTTCCAGTTCACTTGTGATGCAACTCCTGATATGCTGAGCTGTGAGAGTTGTTATTAAGCCAAATGAATTTTTACATAATCTTATTCCCTCAGCTTCTGTTTCTGATAAAACTGCATGATTAGATATGGTATAAGTATCCTTCAAAGTATTTACCTCAGGACCATGTATAATTAGAAAGATTATTCCCTAGGAACAAGCTACTTGGAAAATGTTTCTGTACCTGAACAGAACCTGACTAAATCATCTCCCATGGAAATAAGTCTCCAAATGACCCAGGGAGTTGGCCAACTGTTGTCCTGGACCATCTGTTTTTGTAAATAAAGCTTTATTGGAATACAGCCACACTAATTTGCTTCCTTATTTTCTGTAGCTGCTTTCCTTCTGTAACTGCAGAGTTGAGTAGTTGTGACAAAACCTATATGGCCCGCAAAGCCTAAACTCTTTATTATCCGGCCCTTTACAGTGGGCCAACCCATAAACCAGGTGTGACACAGGGTGACTGAATACTACAGAAGCCTTCATATGTTTCTCACTATAGGCAGGATCTTTCTGACTGAGTATTAATGGCACTTTGAAGGATTCTGGAGTGTGGAAGAAGAGTAGAGCTCAGTAAAATAGCTTGTTGAGATAAAATTAGGCAAGTTAATGGTGCAATATAAAATGAGGCATTAGAAAAGAAAATTCAGAAGTTATGTGAACAACTATAACAAGAGTGAATGCATTCCAAACATTAAAACATCATCACATTTTAATTGTATGCACCCCACCAGAGGAACTTTTGGAGATGATTAGTTTATGCACCTGATGAAACAAAGGTTCTCATACAATATTGGGAATAAAGTGCCGCCTGTAACATTCTAATTTGACTTGTTAGCGTTAGGGGCACAAGGAGCTGAAGAGTTAAGGTCAAATTGATTATCTGCAGCTGCTGACATTCAAATTATGTCCTCTAACAGAAGGCCTGTACTACTGGTCATTCATTCATTCATTTATACAGTCGCTATGTGAGCACAATCAAGAGGCCTCAGTCCTGCTCTAAGGGTGAGTGAGAGCTTTAAGGAATAGATGCTGCCTATAGTGAACCTTGGAGAGTAAGGATTAAACAAGAAGAGTATGAAGAGCTTACCAGGCAAAGAAAACATTAACAAGGACATGTAGCTATTTATAGAGTTTTTGTGGAGAAAGCTCAAAGAGTTGAGATTCTAAGAGAATAACATGTAAAATGGGGAGTGGCAAGCAACGAGCTGAAGAAGCAGGCAGGAGCCTCCTGAACCATTTTAAGACGTTTAGAATTCACCCTGCAGGCAATGGGTAGCTACTGAAGGTTCTGGGCAAGAGAGTCATGATGATGTTAAGGGCCACTAGGGGGTTTATGGAAGACAGATTTCACAATAAGACAAGGTGGAGGCAGCAAGATGAGTGGGACCATTGCAACAGTAGAGATGCTGGAACAAAGCCATGTTCCATGGAAAGGGGATCAAATGTCCCACATCTATAGAAGGATCTAAAGTCTAGGAGGGACCTAAAATAAGTATAGGGTGTGTATGGTTTAGGAGATACAAAGGTAATCTCTAAAGTGTTATCTGGGCAGTCCCTAGTCAGGAAAGGGGACACTGATTTAATATACACTGTGACTTGTCAATGGTAATTCTAATAGATTTTTTTAGGGTCCACTGTGTTACATATGGATTTCTCTCCGCCCCAGCCAAAAAAGGAAAAAAGCATCTGTGCACCTTTCCAACTCAGGCTCCAAAGAGTTCCCCACCCAGTCTAGACCAGACTGCTTAGCATAGACTGTTCAGTTGCGCTAACAAAGCTATAAAATGGATGATGAGAAACAGATTCCATATCCAATCTTCTCAATTTACAAATCTGTGACGTCTAGAAGCCATGGGAATATCCAGGAAGCAGACATAAGGTTCAAACAGCTTGTACACTTTATGTGTGATACATAAGAAATCGTTTTTCTAAAAGCTTGGATTTTTGGTTTTTATTTTATTTTATTTTATTTTGTGAGGAAGATCAGCCCTGAGCTCACATCTATGCCTACCTTTTTGCTGAGGAAGACTGGCCCCGAGCTCATATCCATGCCTATCTTCCTCCACTTTGTGTGGGACACCACCACAGCATGGCCTGACAAGCGGTGTGTCGGTGCGCACCTGGGTGCCGAACCCAGGCTGCCAGCAGCGGCGCCCACGCACTCAACCGCTACGCCACGGGGCCAGCCCCAGAGCTTGGATTTTTGGAACATGAAGTACTGCATCATAATATATAACAAGGATTTTTTTGGAACATCATCACACAGTGTATAAAATGGATAGTGTTTTTAGAAAACTAAGGAATGGCTAACTTCTATATAAACTGGACTTCTAACTAAATGAACACATAGAATCATAAGCTTACCCAGGACAGAAGTTGGCACTGTGCACTGGCAATGCAGAGAGAGGATCCTGATAGACACTGATGGACACGCAGAACTATTTGCTACTGCTCCTGAAAGAGTGCTAGTCAGAGAGAGACTTAACATGGGGGTGACAGGTGCAGGGGAAGAATGTAGAGGAGATTCCAGGGCTCCTGTTCCTTTAACGCTCCCTGCTCAGTTTTAATAAGTAATAGTGGATCCAGAGTCAACTGTAAAATGCTTAGCTGTACTTCGCCCTTTGTGGCCTGAATTGCAGCTGCTCAGCAGATGGGAATTACCCACATTATGACGTTTGCCATGAATAATGGACTTAGCAAGAAATGAGTTCCTCAATCTTATCACGCTATTTAGCTAGCCAGAAGAAACAATCTTTATTTGATTTTTATGAAACCGAAATATGCATGGACATTGGACAGCATGGTGGGTAGAACTGAGTTATGCCCTGCATCCATATATAGAATGGATGTCAAATATTAGTTATAATAAGAGTTCTGTCTTGTTTTATTTATGATTTGTAGCATAATTAAGTGGATATCCAATCCCTTTCCTGGAACCCAAAAAACCCTGTCTCACTCTTTAAGTGATTCTTATGAATTTGGACCCACTAACCAGAGTTCTAACTTTAGAATTCTGCAAATCAGAGATTCTGTCATACGCTATAACGCAACACAAACTTTAGAGACTACCGCATGAGAAAAAGTAAATTTCAGAGGAAAATACAACCCAGCGCAACCACAGGCACGTTTGGCCATGGCCAA